TAGATTCTCATACCTAGTGAGAAGTTTGAAAAGCGAAAATTAGTAATTTCGGTATCTTATAATGATCTAACAAAAATATGTATATGAAGAGTAATAATTGTTAAAAGGTAAGCGTTTGTATAATAATGGAATAATGAAACGTATTGGTTCAACAGAAGCAGTACACTGCGTTCAAAAGTCTTGGTTCGAATGCTTATAAACCTTAAATAAATGTATAGAAAAAGAATATTCACCCAAAAAACTGGGAGAGATGGAGAGCCTGTAGATATTAACCTTAAATAAATAATAAAAAAATAAGAAGGAAGTTTTCTTCCTCCAAGCAAATCCAAAATGAAAAAAGTGTTGCATTGAAATTTTAGAGTATGGTTGGAAGAGAAATTTAAATAAAATAACTTATTTTATTTTAAAAATTTAAATATTTTGAGATAAAATATTTTGTTTAAATGAAAATTTTAAAAAAATTAAAATTTAAGCATTTATGAAACTCATTAAAATAATAAAATTTTAAATTTTTTCAAAAAATTAGAAATTTAAATTTTTTTATATTTTTCTTTCTTATCTCATATAACATATATTTTATTTATTTATTTATTTCTCTTATCTTATTATGTTTGCTTTGGCCTTTGTCTCTTTCATCTATCATTGATACTTTATTTTTTTTTTCTCTCTTTTCTCTCTCTCCTTTTTCTCTCTCGCTATTTATTTTATTTATTCTTTCTCTAACTTATATCTATTTTCTTTCTCCTATCTCTTCAATCTCTCTCTCTTATTTCTCTTCTGTTTATTTTTGCCTTTTTCTATTCTATCTTCATTCCTTTTTCTTTTTTTTTACTACCTCCCTTACCTTTTTTCAAAGTTATATAAAAATATTAATTATTTATAATTTAAAATATTCGAAATATTTTACACTTATTAAATATTATCTAACATTGAATTTTAAAATTATTAAATATTTAAAAATTATTTAATATTTCTTTTTGTAAAATTTAATCTTAAAATCTCAATATATATAAGAAATTATCATGATGAAAATCAAATTATCATATTCAAATTAAAAATTAAAATTTAAAAAAAAATAAATTGATTTATCTAGACAAAACATTTAAAGAATGATGAAAATTAAAACCAACGTAATTCAAATTTAAATAATTTCTTATCCAAACACACCATTAACAAATTTTAGAATACACTCTTTTATACTAAAAAATATATTTGTCAAAATTATTATATATTTATGTTAAAATTTTCAATAAGATGTAGAGGTTACAAAAAGAGAAAAAATATATAATAACATATGTCCTAATTTTTTTATTCACTATAATGTGTTAGATACTTTTAATGATTGGTTAAAAAATATATTTTATATCAATTTTAGACTCATCATTCCAATGATATAGGAAATCAAAAAAATTTATGTTAGTTATTAATAATCGGTATAAAAAAAACTTTGACTTTTTATTTTAGTTATAAAAATAACAAACATAAAATGTCTTATTTTTTAGGTTAATAATTATTTATCCGTCATGCTCTTTTTCTCTTTTTACATTCTGATGTCAAGCTCTTTTCTTTTTGTTATCTCTTCGCTTTTTACCACCATGTTCTTTCCCTTTTATTGTCATATCTCTCCATATTTTGACACACTCTTTTTCTCTTATTATCGCATGTTTGTATTTTATCATCACCACATTTCACATTTCATCGCTACCACTTTCTCTCTCATCATTCTTATATTTCTTTACTTCCACAACATCATCTTCACATTATCTTCCACCACGATATTTGCTTCCAAACTACCACACTATTATCATTTAATCAAAAGCAACAAAAAACAAATAAAAGCAAAAGTGAAAAATAATTTATCTAGATGTGCAAGAAGGAGGAAGACAAAGAAATAGTAAAGAAGACAAAAACGAAACAAGAGTCTAGAGTTGAAAAAGCGAATTACATTTTTTGAAGTTCTAAAACACTATATATGTTGGGTGTTGTTTTACTCATTATAAAAATTTTATTCCATGTAAAATACCAATACATTTGTCATAAAAAGATAGGGGTCAATTACAAAGTTGACCCTCCCCAACATAATCTACAAGGGATGTAATGATATCTAACATAGAAAGATTTTTCTACGACAGTTAAAACAATACTTAACATAAAAAAATGTCATATTACATCTTTACCATTATATCAATTTTTATGTTATGTATATTACACTCGACATGGAATTTATGTTATTAAAAACCTTTTTCACTAGTAATCTTTAAAAGTTACTTATAAAATCATTCAAATATGGATCTTAAAATTTTGAAACAAGAATAAGATGGATAAAAAAACCTCTTAAATGAAAATTATATATATTATTCTTAAGGTTTCCTTCCACGTATACACCTTTGTTGTGATAGATATGAGGGAATGAATATCTAGTTATATCGACTAGAAATAAGACTTAAAAAGAGATTAACCCACCTTAATTTAAGGTACCTTAATTTGAGGTTTTTTTAATGACTACCTTAAACTGTAAAAAAAAATGTTAGCCGGCAAACTTGTTTTAGTTGGTACGGATTTTATCTAACTAAATTTGAATTGTTAATATAGACATTAAAAATTTACATTGGTATGTTATGCTAATAATTTAATAAACCTCTATATACATATTTATTTTCTCTATCCATGATGGAATTAATTGTTTGTTAGTGTGGTTTTTTTATAATGTTTGTATGTTACTACGTATATATTAATTAATAATTTATTTATTGTTAAAATCAACACCAATGGAAACAAGTTCGCCATATGTGAAACATATCTTTTCGCAGTGTATGCATATCCTTTTTGTGTATTTTTTTTTTATTGTGCTAAGAATCGTAAAATCTTTAAAAAAAATGTGTTACTTAGAATTGTCAAATCTTTCAATATTTTAACTAACATTTAAGAAAAAAATCACAATTTTTTTTTTTTAGAAAAGGTGAAAAATAAAATAACTTTCCCTTCTTAGTTTTTACGTCAGTGAGCCATGGCAAATAGATTATTAATTAATTAATTCATAATTCATATCCATGAACAAGTTGGTAAAAGTTCAAAGCCCTAGATATTATTAAGATCGAACATCATCAATACATCAGCATGAGCCAATAAGGAATCCTCACAGCCCTACTTTGACCCTCGCCTGTCCCCATTCTGAATTTTCGTTTTCCTATCTAGAACCAGATGGATGCAGTTGGGTCCATTGCAAAATGGGGGCAGTGAATTATTATAGTAATATTTGAAAAATAATTTAAAATTTAAAATTTAAATTTTTAATATACTGTTTAGATTTTAAAAGCTATCAATTCTTTTAAGATATGTTTAAAATTGAAATTTATGGTATTTCCTTTAAGAATTTGTTTTGTTTTTTAAGATTAAGAGGTTATGTTAATAAATAGAAGTTCTTGAGATAAGAAAAATCATTTAATCTATAAAGGGAGTTATTGCTTTAAATGAGATAAAATGTCACCGCTTTAAATAAGCGAGGAGATATCATATAAAATAAGGTTTTCATATTTTTTCATAAAATTTGTGAAAAATGAGTTTTCAAGTGTCACTCATAAAACTTGAAGGAAAGATATTCATATATATTTATAATAAATTTTGACAGATAATAAATATCTTTATTGATGTAGACATGAAAGACTAAATCATATTAAATAAATGAGAATTGCTACGGTACCCTCAAAGATTGAGGAGTTTCAATACATTCTTTTATGTAAGCTCATAAAAAATCTAAAAAATTTAATTTAATTATAAAATGAATAATCCAAATTATATTTATAAAATAAAAAGTAAAATAAAATTATAGAGATTAAAATTATAAAATTTCAATAATGTTATAAAAAATAATGTTATAAAACATTAAAAAAGAAAAGAATTAATAAATAATAGAAATAAAAAATTATTAAAATTAAAATATAGAAATTCAAAAATTTAAGACAAAAAGACAAAAATATACTTAAAAAATAACTCAAATTAAAATATAGAAATTCAAATATTTTAAGTGAAAAGACAAAAATATACTTAAAAAATTATTAAAATTAAACTATTTAAATATATAATAATATTATTACAAATAAAATTAGAATATATAAAATAAAAATAAAATGACTAAATAATTTAAAAATTAAAAGAATAAAATATCATAAATATTATTTAAATAAATTATTAAAATATAAAGTATAAAATAAAATTATAATTACAACTGTACCGGTACCTTTTCATAAAATTTGTGAAAAAGGAGTTTTCAAGTATCACTCATAAAACTTGAAAGAAAGATATTCATATATATTTATATATAATACATTTTGACAGATAATAAATATCTTTATTGATGTAGACATGAAAGACTAAATTATTTTAAATAAATTTTGTGATTTTTCTTATTTCTTTTATAGTACTTTTTTAATGTGTTTTTCATTATTATTGTATGTTAAAAAAAAGATTTTTTTGTTTCCAGCAATATTTACACCCAAAAATTATATTTATAATTATATTAATAAATCTTTTACCACTAAGTTATTAGTTTGCGTAACATTGAACTCGATTTCATTAAATTAAGTTTCAATTATGTGAATAATTAAAAAATATGGTTAAAAGAAACAATTTTACTAAAAAATAATCTATTAGATTTTTTTCACAAATCGACATATCAATAATATGTTATCAAAGTAAACCTACTTTTTTTTTTCACGTCCATAACTTTTGTTATAGAAAAACTTTTGTTATTTTTTAGAAAGGCAAGGAAGTCGCACTTGGTTAAATTGCTTGACTCGATTAGAAGACCTAGAAATTAATTAATATATATGGATATACGTAGGAAATTAAGGAGGCTCCGGTCACTAGTGGAGGCAAAAAGTTGACCTTAAAAGTTAAAACCATTGTTGTCCTTTGGGCCATGTGACCTAACAAAACGTACGAAACTTCAAAGATGGCACCAATCACTTATTTTCTTTCATTTTAATGAGTCAAATGTTTTCAAGAGTCAAATACTTCATGCAGGCCCTCTATTCTCTAGTCTCTATTAATATAAAAGAACTAAGGGGCTTTGTTTGAAGACTCAGAAGAAGAATTAAACCAGATCAGGAAGAAGGGCTAGCGGAGAAGAGAGAAAGAAAAAGCTACTTTTCCATATATGGAGCTTGCTTCGGAGAGATCTGGTGACGGAGGTAGTGGACTCAAGGAAGAAAAGAGAAGTGAGTACAGTGTTGGTGATGATGATGGTCATCATAAACAAGAGATTATTGTCGAGGTGAAGATTAATATTTCTCTACTATTCATGGTGCATCAGTTTTAACTTTTAAATCACAAAAACATCTTCTTTTGCTTTCTACACATATATATGTAAGTCTTAATTTGTTGATTCATATGTTGGATCTGGTTTTTCAATACATATCCCTTAAGATTTTCATACATGACCAATCGATGACATAGAAATTATAGAATAATAATAATCATGTATTATTAGATAATTCGATCATTTTAATGTTGATTCCTCCTTAATTCCTTCTCCGGTTCTTCCCTTTTCTGCTTATCAATATTATTTTCCAAAATTTAAACATTTGTTTTGGTCTTCAGTGAATCCCTTTCATGTCTACGTACGACGCAATTGATGTTCACCAGAAATTTAATTAGTTAGGGCATACTAATTAACAGATATGTGCCGCACAGATTCTCCTTTTTGGTTGTATACTCTTATCATCAACCTGATCAGTAATTCGTTTGGTATAATTCATACTTCGTACAAAGATTAATATGTTTACCCTAAATTCATAATCTATAACATTAACCTTTAGGAATTTATTTGGTATAATTCATACTAAATATAAATATAATTCACAGCTCCATAATAATTTATCTGTTATAACAATAATAAAAAATATGTATATATCTACAACTTGAACAAGACAAATATGAATATATTATTGAATTAGTCAACTTGAAAATAATATTTACATTAAAAGAAACCGTCAATATTAACGTCTATTAGTTTAAGTTGTAAGCAAAATAGTTTCTTATATAGACTAGAGTTTAAGTTCAAGTTTTGTAAATAAAAGTAAATTAATAAAGTGAAAGAACTATATACCCTTAAATGAATTTATCTTATTCGATCTGTTCATAATAATCAAGAAGTACTATATCCTTTGAATAAGGTCACAGTGTTAATTATACCGAAAGTCATAATCCAAACATTAAAGAAAGTCGTTGGTTGAGAAATTAATATACAAATGTCCAATCATGCTCGTCCTTTGTAAAGCTTACTGAAAATACAACTTATCATTGTTTGGTAAGCATACTACAAAAAGGGTTATGTAAATAATTAATAGGGACATCATCTGATAAGAGTTGACCAATGCATGTGCCTAAAAAGAAAACTAATGATATCCACAACGTGATAATTCATCCTTCACGTGCAAGTTATAACCAATAGATTCTCACCCGGCCAAATAAGAACGTGAAATATAGTGAACTACTGTAATCAAATGTTAGTACTCTAATTATAACTCTAATGGATTTAAAAATAATATATAGAGAGAGTTCCTTAGTTGGAAAAGATTAATTGTATGCTTGCATCCATGAGGGAAAATGAAAGTAACATTATTTTTTATGATTATTGCTGGTGCAATACAGGAAGCACCCGTTGCTAACACCGAAAGATCCATACCGGAGGCTGGACCTAGCGCATCCACAAGCCAAAAGGAAAAGGTTAAATTTATAATGATACAATCAGTTTTTATTTATTTATTTATTCTCATTTTCAACGATAATTAGTACTCATATATGTGTATGAATGGCGGGTTGTAGGTTGATGAAGAGCTTGAGACTACTAAAGCTGAAATGGGTGTGGTGAGGGAAGAAAATGAACGGTTAAAGATGAGTTTGAACAAAATAATGAATGAATATCGGACACTAGAAATGCAATTCCAAGACATACTTAAGCAAGGAACGAAGAAGAACGGTGATAAAGGAAATGAGAAGCATGAAGAAATATTAGAGGAATCGGATGATCTTGTTTCCCTCAGCCTTGGAAGGGTTCGGAGTATTCCAAAAAATGATGAGAAAATGAAGGTTTGTAAAGCATTGAAGGATGAAAAAGGAGACTTGAGTCTTGGACTAGAGTTCAAATTTGAAACATCAAAGTCGGGAAGCATAACTGAAGCTAATTTGACTAATCCAAGCCCTGAAAATAGCTATGAAGTGCCAAAGGAAGAAGCTGTGGAGACACTTAAGACAATGAGAGACACATGTACAGAGGATGAAGCTGCTCAGCAAAATCCTGCAAAGAAACCTCGAGTTTGTGTTAGAGCAAGATGTGACACTCCAACAGTAAATATCTCTCTCTTCTTAGTTCATTTTAAGTGACATTCTTTTTAACAATTTTTAATAAGTAGTACTTTTTTTTAGTATTAGCTTATTAAATTTGATTGTGGAACAGTTTTAAAATATAGAAAGGTATAGCTATATTTGTTCACGTACGCTTTGATATTACTTGAAACAGATGAATGATGGATGCCAATGGAGGAAATATGGACAAAAGATTGCAAAGGGAAATCCTTGCCCACGAGCTTACTATCGATGCACAATTGCACCATCATGCCCAGTAAGAAAACAGGTATATCTATATCTGCATTGCATTACACACGTATTATCATTGAGCTTCAATTTATAGTCAAGGAAAAAATTACAGTTTTCATGCTCATTTGGGGTGTATATACACTATAATTGAGTAAAAAAAAGTTAAGAGAAAAAAAATTATAAATATACATTCTTTTTCCTTTTCATCTTAATTTATTATTATCTTCTCTTTTTTTTCATTACACTATTTATTATATATATATATATATATATATATATATATATCCTCGTTCCACTCCAACTATTTATCAAAAAGTGGAAAAGAAAAATGCTAACAATATTCTAACAATAAATTATTAGATAATCCTCAACTTTATACTCTCTAATAAATATCAACATACCATGTAATTAGTATTATTAAGTTTTCATTGTAAATTTTAAAAAATTAAATACATTTTATTAGTTGAAATCATAGGCACTTGATCGATAATGCAAGATTACTTAATAATTTTTCTCGCCTAATACATTTTCTCTAACATCCTTTTTATTATTAACTAAAATTAATTGAAAATTACATATTTTGATCATTTTCACTTCTTAAGCAAAACGTATTAAATGAAAAGTAAGGTCTATCAAAATTTGTGACTTTAATAAATTTTATTTAATATCCCTCTATCACATAATAAATATTGTCTTTAAGTTATTTTTTATTGACTAAAAAAAGTTAATAAATAAATAAAAGAAAATAATAATTTTACAAAATTAATCTTATTTATTAGAAATGATACAACAACAATCACTTTCTAATTAATATTCATTACATATAGATGGAAAAAAAATAATTAAAATTACATTGAAAAATAACATTATACTTATCTTGAATCTTAATTTTCTTTTCTAATACGATACTTATTATGAAATAAAGAAAATAATGAAGTGTTAGAATAAATATTAATATATTACTCTCATTTGTTAATTGGTAAGGTTTGTGTTTTATTATATCACAAAGAAAAAGAAAAAGAAAACGAGAAAGGTGAAAATTTGTAATAAAGTCACTTCATATATATATATATATATATATGATCTCTTGTAGTAATATTTCATAAGGTACTTAATGATTCCTGACCACCTCATTTTTTAAATACTTCATGGATGCCTCTCATTTTTATTTATTTTTTTCTATATTTCTCTTCACATCACATCATATCATTTATCAAGTGTATCCTACACTACCTTTGGTTTCTAAAAAAAGGTTTTCCAACTCAAAATGTATTTCAGGTGCAAAGATGTGCCGAGGACATGTCGATTTTAATCACGACCTACGAAGGGACCCACAACCACACTCTTCCACCTTCAGCCACAGCCATGGCATCCACAACTTCCGCAGCTGCTTCCATGCTCTTGTCTGGTTCATCAATCTCTTCAGCAACCACTGCCACCAATCTCGACAACCTCAACTTTTACCTATCAGATCATGCTTCCAAACCAAGGCAACTATACCTCTCCAACCCTGCCCTATCATCTTCACCTTCCCATCCAACCATCACTCTCGATCTCACTTCACCCCCACCCTCTTCCTCCTCCTCATCACCCTTTGTCAGATTCACTTCAACCTTCAACAACCAACCCAGATACCCCTCTTCCTCCAGCCTCAGCTTCAGCAACACTACTACCACTCAACCATATGGCCACAGGAACATGAACATCCTTAGCGGTGTCAACTTTGGAAGACAACAAGTGGAAAGTATCTACCAATCTTACATGCAAAAAATCAACAGCAACAACACAGCAGTGCCAGCTGATACCATATCTGCAGCAACGAAAGTCATCACAGCAGACCCCACTTTTCAATCGGCTTTGGCAGCAGCGCTTACTTCCTTTATTGGAAATCAAGGGGTCAGTGGTGTTGAAGAAAGTTTGGGTCAGAAAATGAAATGGGAAGAGGCGTTTCCAGCGTCTAATTCTTCGAAAGTGATCAATGGTTTTGCATCATCACAGACCAAAAGTTTGATGTTTCTACCTCCCTCGTCTTTGCCTTTTTCTACTCCCAAAAGTGCTTCTGCTTCTCCTGCTCATAATAGCGACGCCACCGATTAGATAATTGTTCATACTATTTCTCTAGCTACTATATTTTTTGTTGGATTGCATTCATGTAATTAATTAACTGAATTTTAGCATACACACGTCAATAAATGATTTTCCCTTCATTAAGTAGTTATTCGATCAATAATGTTTATCATATAAATTATTATATAATTAAGATATAGAATAAAATTATTTTGGTATGATATGATTAATTAACATACTGATTAACTACCACTCACTCACACATTATAGAAATAATCAATTTAGTGAAAATTTTCTGGCTTAATTTTTCTCATATATTAAAGCTCTTTCATCCAGTGAAAATTATATAGTGAGCAAAATTAATTTCTTATTTAGTGAGTTACACTATAAGGAAGTGACATTGTCATGTACACACCTTATAGTAATACAATATGTGTCACTAAAAATTACTTTTACTTATATAGTAAATGTAATATATATGTTGGTATATTGATAAAAAATATGAGGTATAAACTATTATGACTCACAAAATATATTGGTAAAATTTATTCAAAATCAATACTAAAATTATGTATAACTATATATCAAATAGATATATACTTATATATATTATATTTATATTGATATTTTTTGTGTGTCACTGTATGTAATATTTTTTATAGTGTTATAAATACCTCATAATATGAAAAAAGTATGAAAAAGTATATATATTATCATGAACTAAAAATAATTACGGGATATCATAAACTGTTATCGTAAGTTATTTTGGAAAGCATACTGAAATAAACTAAAAATAATAATTACCCGGATATCGTAAACTGTTTTTATAAGTTTTCCACTTATAAGCTAACTCTTATAAACATACACTTTAATTAGAAATAATTTTTACCATCGAAACCGAGGATATTTTGGTTATGTATTTTTTAGTATCTTTATATTTTTTAACGACAAATTTAATAGTCGGTCATTTATCACATGATTTTTAATTATCCTGAGGCTGAGAGGTGTGGTCGGTGGAAAGATATTTGAAACATATCTTTGCTTTCCGTCCTTCTGACTCTTTTTGAGAAACATTTCATATATAATTGGTGTGATTGTGGCAGGTGCAATTTAGATAAATTTATCAACAAATATTTATAATAGAAAAAAATAATATAAATTAAGAAAATAAAATAAAGTAATTGTTTTATAAAATTAAATTAAATTTATATACCTTATAACTTATGAAAGAGTTATATCAATATCAAACTTTAAAAAAAGTTGGTATATAAATTCATTTTAATTTATATAAAAATTTGATATATATATATATATATATCGGGTAAAAGCAAGAAAAATTATTATTGAGAAAAGTCAATCTCACTTATATCACAAATAAGATATTTAAAGAGTATATTAGTGAAAGAAAACTCTTACCTAATAAATCATTTTTTAGAATTGAGTTAAGATAATAATCCACATTTTAAGATGGTATCATAACTATCTAAATTCATTCTAAAAAGACCACTCATCATTGCTATATACATCAAGTTTAACAGTGTTGGACATGAAGGGTTGTATTAGTAAAAATTCAAGTCTCACCTATCTTAAATAATTAAAAAAAAAAAAGTCATTGAGATGCACATTAAGTCTACTAGTGTTGGTGTGAGAGAGTGTTTTGGTAAAAATTCAAGTCTTGTCTATCTTACATCATTAAAAAGGCTCACCTACCATTTATTTATGTACTATCAAGCCTAATAGTACTAGACATGACGATGTGTATTGGAAAGAATCTAAGTCTTACGTTGATTAGAGATGAGACAAATAAAGAGTTTGTAAGTGAGGGTCTGTGGGACAACCCTCACCCTACAAATCTGACTTGTAAGATAAGAATTATCCTCTACTTATGCATATACTTTTTAATTTTCTTATCTCTACCGGATGTAAGACTTGGATATTTTTTCAATACAACCCATCTATTGAGCTTGGTATGTGAAAAGATGACGAGTAGCCATTTTTAATGATCTAGGATAAGTGAGACTTGATTTTTTCCCAATAACTCCCATTTATCCTACGTACAACAATCAAATTTATCCTAGATCCACTTTTAAAAGACCATCCATCACCGATACACACATCAAATCCAATAATATTAAGTGTAAAAGAGTGTGTTGAAAAGAATTTAAGTCTTGCCTATCATGTATCATTAAAAATGGTCATCTACTATTTATTCACATACTAAGTCCAATAGTACTGAATATGAAGGGATATAATAGGAAGATACCTAAGTCCCAAATTGACTAGAAATTAAAAAGGCAAACACAAAAGTTTATAGGTGAAGGACAACTCTCACTGTACAAATCGATTTTGTAGGATTGAGTTAAGCTCAATTTCATTTTCTTGAAATTATAAAGATGATTGTGATAAGATTGAATTTAGATCCTCATACTTCTAATTACTACAATCTTTTTTTTCTCAATTACTATACTAATTCTATTGACTTTTAATCATATATATATTTTCTTCCCTCGTAAGTATTTAGGGTCAAATCCTTAGAATCACTAGGGTCCTCAATCTAGTAGTAAGGATTGAGATATAAGATCTTAGATTCAAACCTTACACTAGTGCAAAAATTGGATTTAAAATCGGAGTTTTAAGACAGGTTATAAGGTAAACGATCTTAAAAGTGAAGAGGTGGCAATTTCGTAAATAACATGAACACTTTTAAGATCAGTTATAAAAGAACCGATCTTAAAAGTGGTACTTTTAAGATTGGTTAGAAAAAAACCGATCTTAAAAGCACTTTTAAGATCGGTTATAAAAGAACCGATCTTAAAAGTTCCACTTTTAAGATCGGTTCTCTCATAACCGATTTTGTATGTGGTATACAAAATCGGTTCTTAATTAACCGATTTTAAAAGTATCGTCAGAAATCTTTTATATTCCCTTCCATTCTCATTTTCTTTAATCTTTCTCATTTTCTAAAGTCTCCAGGTAAATTTCATTTTCATTTTTGTCTGCTTATGTTCTTTTTGTGTTTCTCATTCTTTTCTCGTTTCAATTTTCGTTGCAGGTGCAGTTTGGGAAAATTTTGAAGCTGGAATGGCCCGTACTCCTTGGAGAACGGGTCGTACTCCAAGGAGAACGGGCCGTTCTCCAAGGAGTACGGGCCGTTCTCCAAGGAGTACGAGCCGTTCTCCATGGAGGACGGGCCGTTCTCCTAGGAGTACGGGCCGTACTCCTTGCAGAACGGACCGTTCTCCAAGTGATTTTTTTGGCCTTTTAATCCGACTGGAACGACCCGTTCGTTTTGGAACGGCCGGTTCCAGTTTAACTTTTTTTCACAACCGGACTTTTCAGATCGGTTATAAAACAATCGATCTTAAAAGTTGACTTTTAAAATCGGTTGTTTAACCGATTTTAAAAGTCTAACTTTTAAAATCGGCTCTTTCAAAATCGGTTACAGAACCAATTTTAAAAGTTAAAAATAACTAATTTTAAAAGTCTTTTTCCACTAGTGTTAATACATTAATCATTATAATTCCAATGAATCAAAAAGAGTGAAATCCTTAGAAATACATTTTAATTTAAAATTTATAATTAAAAATATATAATTTAACACATCGATCTCTAAATTATATTGATAGTTCAAAATAATTTAAGTCGACATAAATAGGCCATAACTGATCCATATCCTTTCTCTTTGAGGCCATAACCCACCCATCCTTCCAGGTTCCAGGTTCCAGGTTCCAGGTTCCAGCTTCTTCTAGTTGTCATTACCTACCCATCCTCCAACCTTTTTTCCCCTTCTACATTATCTTATGTGTTAACTTATTCATATATTTATTTCATTCCTAAATTTATTTTAATTTTAGAACGTTCTGCATTACAGGCAAAGGGAGCGGTGATAACTTGGTCAAACATAACCCACTAGCTATATTTCTCCTTCACTTTGTTTTTTAATTATTACCTCTTTTTACCCTTGATTTTAATTTGAAGTCTTTTGCAGTTCCGAAATTTAGTAACTACTCAAATATTTTCTATTCATTTTTATATGTTTTTATCTCCCTTTTATTTTGACATCTTTGTTTGTCCCCAAATTTTATTTTGCTCCTTCAGAATTTTTTTTCTTTAATCTACTATTTATCATTTTAGAGAGGTGAGTTGCAAAAAAGTATCTTATAAATTAAATTTATATGTGACTAGAAGGATCAAGACACTTTATATTTCTAATAGTTATAGACAAACACAATATTAAAAAGTTACATATAGTTATTCAGAGAGGATATAAAAAGTTTTCTTTTCACATCTAAGGAATACAATAGTCTACTAAAAAGTCAAAACAAAAAATAATTACATATCTCCAGGGTTCTCTTTATAATAGGTATAAATTTTAGTATTGATTGATTAAAAAATTCATATATAAATTTATGTGATTAGTATTTTTTTATAACCAAAATATTTGAAATGAAGTACCATTTATGAAACTATAAACACATACAAATAAATATTTTTCTCTCAACATAATTTATTTCATATTTAAAATTAAGATTTAAACTTTGAGCATTTTAGTTAAGAGACACAAATTATTATCACTTATATCAATCAATTATATTAGTCATGATTAATATTTTCCAGTGCAAGTGAACGAGATTCATGTGAATGAGTTCATTTAATATATCTTCATCTTGATTTTTTTTTTCAAGCAACGACTGTAAAATGTTTTTGTTTTTTTTTTGACATCGACTTCTAACACTAATTTGATTCACGGAATGATAAGTATGTTGTCTAGATGGTTCGAATAATAAAAAAAGGAACTAATCTTATCTAGTTGGTGGATACATAGATATATATGAATTAATGTGATGTTTAAAACGTAATCAATTTTAAAAGTAATGTTATTATTTACAAAATTGTCACCGCGTCACTTTTAAAATCGATTATTTAATGATCGATTTTAAAATTTCGATTTTAAAAATTATTTTTGTACTAGTGTCTTCATCCATTGTCATTATATATTTTGATAAACAACTCTGAAATGTCCTTGTAAACGATGTTACTTATGTTGATTAAGATTTATCTTGTCGTCCTGTTTTCAGAGCCAAATCAAGCGAGGCAACTATGACATGGTCCAAAATAACTACACATATACATGAAAGCAAAACATTAAACAAATTGAAGTGGGATTTTGATCGTCTCTCTCCTAACGGTATATATCACCAATAAAATAATTTCACTATTTTGTGTCATTTTCATATAATTTTTTTTCATAATTAATGCTACTTCCTCTTTTAAGTGAATTTCGTCAAGTGATTTCTTTTTATCGAACTAGTAACAAATTAAGTTTGTAACTTAAATATGTTTTTCAAGAAACTTGTTTTATCGATGAACTATGATTTCTATAAATGACTATATCACTATGATACAAATTTGTACGATAACATTAACTTCAATAATGATAAAATGATCAATACATATTTCAATCAAAAATATTATTTCATAAAGAACTAAAATTGAAGAAGAATAAAAAAGAATAAATAAGTGCAACTATTTTTTAAAAAAAATGGTACCAAAAAAAATATACATATTTCTTGAAATCGAAAGTCATTGATATATAACGTGTTTGTGAAAACGTGTTTTCTGACCAATGATCCCCTTATTCGAGGTTTTAAAGAAAAATAACTACAACATGTAGTAAATGTGAATCACTAACTACTAATATCTTACGTTAACTTCTTAATGCTATTTCGATCTAATTGAAAGATTGTCTTTGATATATAATTTTACCACTTTAATCCATGCTTGATCTCTGATAGATTCCCTTTCAAAATCTTTGATTATTGACATTTCAATTTCCCTCAACATATATTTTTCGAGTAACTTACAAAATCACTCATAACACTTCCTCCGTATTGAAATATAAACAACAAAAGGATTATGTGTAATGAAATAAAATATAAGCAAATTTTAATTGATTTTATTATTTTTAATGATATCATTTCTAAAAATACATTTCACTCCGTTGAAATTTTATTTTTAATATTTTTATTCTTAATATCATGTATCTAAAAATACATTTCACTTTGTTGAGAGATTTTATTTTGAAAATTTTATTATTCTTAATATCATGTCTCAATGAAGGACAACTTGGAGAAAATAAAAATAAAAATGAGATGAGGAGAAAAGAGAGACACCATAAGAGAGGTTGAATAATGTCAATCAAAAACTCATAGTTTTTCGAACAACAAAATAGTAGCTTAACTTTATAAGTACAGACGAAGATATAAGAAAGAATAACATAAAGTATTTTCATACTAGATCATCTCAACTACTGAAACTATGTTTAGTTCTTGATCAAATCAATCAAGTTTCACTGTCTTTTACGAAGATACAAGTATTCTTTCACAAGTCACTTTTGATTCAATGTAAGTATTCTTTGATTCATTTCTTCAAACAATTACCCAAGTATTCCTTGAACGCAAAGCTTCTCTAGGCTTCAAACAACCAAGTATTCTTTTATAATCAAGCCTCTTCAGGACCTAAACAATCAAGTATTATTTTACGATCAAGTCTCTCCAAGCTCAAAGTAATAACACTAAGTTAAAGCTGGATAACATAATAATGTTATTTCGTCTTACTATCAAAATGTGATACAACCAAGTAAGTACAAAACTTATTAACAAAAAGAACGAATGTAATGCTACAATGTGTTTATTTTTATGGTTCTCTCTATTTTTTCTACAATATAAGACTTCTTTATATAGGTGTTTCTTGAAGATGTTGTTGCAAACTTTGAGCATCTCTCACAGGCTTGATTCATCTGTATTCATCTTCCTTCCTTATAGAGATAAATGGCTATTGGTGCATTAAATGTGTTTCACCAGATTATCACTTCTTATCTAATCAAGGACGTTACTTATCACCTTTTAGGTACTAAACAAGTGGAGGCATGCATGTGTCAGGTCAAAGCGACTTTTTCTAAGGATTTTCACTATTTATGGGATATGCATGTTCTTTTCTGCCGCAAAATATGTCTTTTGTTCCTTTCATTATTTACAAGTATAGAATAAGTTTTTTCACTTTGATCGTTAAAGGTATTATGTGAACAAAGATTGATTTTGTTATCAATCATCATAAATGTTATGAATTCAAAATAAATGTCTTACAGATGAAGTATTTTATCTGTTAGACTTAATATCTAAATAACTATTTGTCTTATTGTTTGTTCAGAAAACTTTTTTCTTAAAAAATATTTATATTTGTTATCATTAAAACTTTAAAATCTTGAAAGTTTAAGATTGTCTTTAGACTGAACATGAGATTATTAACATTAAATTACAGTTTCTTTAATGACATGCATCTAACACTACAAGAAAATTGAATTGGAGTGGTAAACAACAATTGTCATTAAAAGTTAAAAATTTACAGGTAAATGTCTAATTTACATTTACGAACAAACAATCTATTCTTTCATTATATGAGTTGTATAACAAAAAAAATTTAGGTTTTACTATAACAAATAACTATAAGTATAAATATTTGAGTTTTACCTACACTAAATATTTGTAAGTAAAAGTAATTCTTAAATTTATCCATAATCATAATATGTGTAAAACAAAATACCTATAGTGTCATTTTTCTTGTAGTACAAGTTATATGAACAAGGATTCAGACACACAAATACTCCCACATCTCAACCATATCATTCTTGACCAATGTATTTATGACACTCATCAATATTCGATAGTACTATAGAAACATATTTTTCTATCGTTAACTAAAATTCACATTGCACTTATTTCTTACTTGATATTACTCTTGATTTGGAAGATTATATATAGGACTTACTAGTTATTAGCCAATACCACACAACCCATGCCACAAAGCTTAAACTTGTTTTGAATTTTTCCTCGATGAAGCCTCACAAACCCACACATGTAGTTACTCTCTCGAGCTCAAGTCAAGGTTATCTCAATCTAATAATTGAGTCTGTGCTTCGTCCTTTACCACAACTTCAAAGTAACCTTCCTTGCTATCACTTACCCAATCTCACGCACCGTAATGCAAATCCTCAACCTATTTGGATTGTATTCTCACTTAGTGAGAGTTGTGATTTTGTACAATTGTGAGGGTTGAGAAATTTGCATCATTATGGTCTCCCAATTGTCTAAAACATTAATAATCAAAACATAAACAGTACTTCACTACAACAAAATTTAGTATTACCGACAATTATTTAATGACAATAAATTAATTGTCTCTATTTTATTATTTAATAAAAATATTAATGACTATTATATAATGGTCACTAAAAATGTATTTACATCACATCAAAATTTACTATTAGCGACAATTATTGTTAGAAAAAACTTAAGTCTCACATCGACTAGAAATAAAATAATTAAAGAGTATATAAGTGAATGATAACTCTCACCTTACAAATATGTTTTATAAGATTGAGTTAGACCTATAACTTACTATTCTAAGTTGGTATTTAGGATATAAGATAACTAAAAAAATTAAAGAATATATACTTAGAAGATAATCTTCATCTTCTAAGTCCCACATCAATTAGAAATAAAGTAACTAAAGAGTATTTTTACTCATCTTACAATCGACTAGAAATAAACAGTATTATAAATCTTTTCTTAAACTTTTAGCAACAATTTTAAATGCCAGTAACAAATGACACAAAAAGTTATACATTTTTCCTGACTATTATAAAGGTCTTTACTAGCATGTAAAATAACTACCGGTAAAAAATTTTATAACAATTTTTATTGCCACTAAAAATTATATTAAATACCACTAAAAATCTATTTTATTGTAGTGTTTCCTTATACCTTGTAAAACCCCTCTATGAAACTCAGGATTTATGCAAAACATCGCCAAGTGATCATTTTATCCAATGAATAGTAATGAAAATGGTCTCCAAGAAGAAAAAAGTTAAATGCTAGACAATGGACAAGCGAAGGGTGAAGAATGCATTCATAATAATGCTTAGGTGTTATTTAGTGTGTGAGAGAATCTTATTGTGTTTGGAAAAATATTGGGTTCAACGTAATCCAAGTTTTATTTAATCCGTAAATATAATTATTTTTGTCATTTGGAGCATTGAAATACGTAAATATCCATTTTATAGTTTTTCAATGTAAATTCAAACATGTCCTTAATCTTATTCGTCATATTTTCTCTTCTATTCTTTAATGCTTTACATCATTACGTGTATAATGAGTGAGGTGAGATGATCCTAAAGAAAAAAAAAATGGATTCATTAGACTTAATTGAGTTTTTATGTCATCAATATATCATGCAAAGTTGTTATAAAAATGAGAAAAAAATGATACTTAACTAAATGTTGTGTTAATATGACTAGAAACCTATTTTGGGTTGTTAAAGTAAATTATTTATCATATATTTTTAATAAAAAAATTTATAAAAGTTAATGATGGAAAATATTAGGATTGTAAGAAGGAAAACATATATTAATATAGACAAGGGTATCAAACTAATATTCATTTAAAACAATAGGTGATAAAATAACAATCATGTGTAAATGATGATATTGTTTAAATAAATAATTAACTAATAGCATAACCAAAAGGATTATTAGCAAAATAATATTGAAACTTAGACAAAATTGAAAAAAAAAACTAAAAATATTATGTCTATTTTGGCACGCATACTTAATTATAAATTATATCATCAAACTATCTTAAAAATATAATCTACAAGTAAATGTTTAATAATTTACTTAAATAAATTAAAATATTTAATATATTTTATTTTAAATCTCAAATTCGTTAAAATAATTGATAATTTTGATATAAAAAAATATACATAATATATAAAAAAAAAACTTTTTAATATGAATTATTATAATAAATTAGACATTAATAAATATTTGATTACAAATATTTTAATATATTTAAATCATAATTTTATATTAATCACTGATATTAAATCTAATAATGCCAAAATGAGGAGTATTTTTCTTTTTGAAATGAAACATAGATTAAGTAATTATAATTTTATTACCAGTTGATGAATGATGATTTACAGAAACCTCATAAAACGACAAAAAAAAAATTAAAAAAAAAAATATATGATATTTTAAAAGGGGTGTGTGGGAAGGTTGATTAGACCCCAATACAATCACAGCACGCTTCTAAACTCTGAGAATGAATATCGTAAGATCGAAGCAATAACCTTTTCTCTGCCGCCACTGATTACGATCCCTCACCCACAAACCCTCATTCCGACTCACACACATAACCGGTATCTGAATTTCTTCTCCATTTTCAATCAAATTGCTTTTTCTTAAGTTATTATTATATGTTAATTTTGTTGTCTTGTATGTTCGAATTTGCATTTTTTTTATGACCCGAACGGTGGATGATTGGTGCAGAGGGTGGATCTACGTCAAAGACCCCTTATTTAATGTTCCTTAGAAATTCCTACCGTTTTTTAATTCTGGGGTTTGTGTTTGTGTTACCGATGAAGCTGTAGTATGAGATTAGCGCGAAATTTAATTGCTTTTTTTTTTTGTTTCTCTGGCGTGAGATTGTTGCTCTTGGGATGATTGTGAAAATTTTGCGAGTTAAACTCTCGAATTATATCTTCAAACTTGTTCTTAGTGTTACCCCTCATTTTCCACGTGTATGGTCTATGTTGGAATCTGAATTGGCTTGTTGATTATGTCTCTTATGCTCATAGTTTACCTTTTTTTGTTGTTGAAAGAAAATTGAAGTAATTTTTATTTTCTGTGTAGCTGTTAGATTTTCTAGGTGGCAGCAATGTCGACTCCTGCTAGGAAGAGGCTCATGAGAGATTTCAAGAGGCTGCAACAAGACCCACCTGCGGGAATCAGTGGCGCTCCCCAGGATAACAACATAATGCTGTGGAATGCTGTAATATTTGGGTGAGTTGAATTGTAATTGGATAGAGATGAATTGTTCTGTTTACTTGTATGATATAGTCACTTTGTTTTATTTCATTCTCTTCCCGCTTTGTTTAAGTATGGATGGATAAGCAATTTCTGCTTTCTTGTCTGCTTTGGATTGCAGTCCTGATGATACTCCATGGGATGGAGGTGAGTCTGTCCTTTTACCATGGCTTCTATCTTGAAACAATTTGATACATGTGTCAACTATGTTATTTTCCATCTTGTACATTACATGCAATTCTAATGACTCTGTTATATTAGATGAGCTTGCTTTGTAGTTTTTTTTTTTTTCATGGACCCGAATTCACCCCTTTGGCACATGGATTTTACAGATTAAAATCCAAATCTAAATTTATATCTTCCTGGTAACTACCAATCTACTTCTGCGTGTAGACAGATTTGCATTACTCCACTGATCTGTTCCTGTTTATTTTAATATTTTATTTTAAAGCTGCATTGTTTGAATTGTGATACGTGTTCAGTTGCTGTATTTGTTATTAATGCACAGCTGCACAAGCAAACTAAAGAAATAGTTATTTTTCCTGATATTTCAGTTATTTTATCATTATTTAATAAGTTTTATGCTTGAAATTGGCTAACTGGTTTTAAAAACAGTTTAGGGTTTAAAATTGGTTGTGAACCATGAATCAATTTTAATACCGTTTTATGGTTTACTATGTTGTCAATAGTGGCTGAAGCAGCCGCTATAGTGACGGGCGTTTTGCTAAATTTGTTGACCTCATGCGTGTGTCACTCCTGGCTTGTCATCGACATTGTGTGTGCATGCTCTAACTTCTTCTCCTCCTCTCAAATTTTAAATCCAATCCATTTATTGGAAGAAAAAAAATCCAATCTATTTATTTGAATTTGAAAAAATCCAATCCATGCCCGCCCTTAGATTTTGGGAAGCTCTATTATCTTAAAATTGAGATTTTTTAGAACTGGCATGGAAATGTTGTTTGGTGGTTTGATGGTATCTTGTTTTACTTCTCTCTTTTGTTTTTGGTTTATAATGGGTAAAGACTTGGCTGTTGTTGCTGTCATCATTATTTTCTATTTGATTTCTGATATGGTGATATTAATTCTAATTCTGTCTATTATAGTTTCTTATGTTTTTTTTAGAGATGATAACCTAGTTGAATAAGACTTTTGTTGTTGTTATGTTTTGGTTAGAGATTGCTTCTATGTTTAAAAGAGAGAGACATATTTTGTTATTCTATTAAACTAAATTTTTTTCTTTATGAAGCTCTATTATAGTTTGGAAAAGTTAAATGAAAATTGAGTCAGATAAATTTTATGTATATACTTGGAAGTCATATTTTTCTTCTCTTAACATTATCACAATAATGTCTACATAATTTGAGTTATCCAGGCACGTTTAAGTTGACACTCCAATTTTCTGAGGATTATCCAAACAAGCCACCAACTGTACGATTTGTCTCTCGAATGTTTCATCCAAACAGTAAGTTTAGGCTGAAAAGATTAATCTTCTTATCCATAATTTACCTATCGAGTTACTAATGTCATTTTTCTACTCTGGGAAGTTTATGCGGATGGAAGTATTTGTTTGGACATATTACAAAATCAGTGGAGTCCTATATATGATGTAGCTGCTATACTCACTTCTATCCAGGTATTATCTTGTATAATATAGTCAACAATTCCATATTTCTGTTCATTTCATTTTTAATTATTACTAAGAAGATACCAAACACATTTACATAATTAATTCTACACTTGAGGTTTGGTTTTGTTTACCTAAACCTATGCATGGCTATGCCAACATTTTGCTCAAATTAATGCAAGATCCTGTGTCTTTTCAAATTACTTGTGCATTTTTGTCTATTGCAGAATTATCTACTTGAATGCATTACCTTTCGGTGTTAAGTATCCCTTTCTGTTTGCTGATTCATGTCTTAATTTGCTTGTAATGTTAACTTAGCTTTCTCAATTTTTAATGATTCTTATATTGTCTGCCAGTCTTTTCATATCCCAGATAAACATTTGATCTCATTGACTGACAGTTGAAGCAGTGTAATTCCAGAATTAAGCCTTGAAATTTGTAACTCCTTTTATGGAACAGGCTTGTTTTCTTAGCTTCTTTGTTTGTGGGGATAAGGAGCTTGCAAGAGTTTTTTTATGTCTGACCTGCTAAGAGACTGCATTGTTGTTCAAATATGATGTATTTCCACTTTTTTCCCCCTTTTCATGCATATTGTAGCTTCAGAATGATTTTGGATCCTCCTATTTGTAGACTTGATGGATTCTTTTGCTAATAAAACTTGCAGAATCAAACATGTAAGATAGAAGCTTGTTATATTTCTTTTCCTCATTTTTTGGGAGGGTGGGGTGGTGTCCAACTGTCCATTTTTGTTAAGAGGGAGATCCTAAGATATGGTAAGGGGATGTGATAAATGGGCTAAACGTGAGTATTGGAAGTTGTTGGACAGTGAGAATTGAACCTGTTATGAGGATCTTCCTGGAAAATTGTGTGCTACTGCCATTATGCTACAGGACCATCATTGGCACATGTATCAGTTGTTTACTTGTATTTTTATTCGTTTTGAATCTAGCATATTAAATATCTTTGATAAGCACCATGCTCCAATGTTTCCCTGTGCTAGGATCATGATAGGGCTCATAAGAGGAATAATAATGCCCAGTAGTCCCATGTAGTTAGAATTAAAAAATTAGGCAAAGTAGCTAGAGTTAGTAACATGATTAGTAGGGCGGTTAGCTTAAACAATAGTCTGATAAAACAGAGCTTTAGCTCAGTTGTGAAAGGGGCAACCCTTTGTGATTGGAAAGCACATGGAGATTCCTCTCCTTTTTCTGTTCAGATTTCATTCTCTAATAGCATTCATTTCAATCTTTCTAGCTTCCATAGTGTCAGTATGCCCATGTTGCAAGATTCTGCCGCACATACTGTGGGTGGGATAATGTTGGAACATTATTGTTTGCCACTCTGATATAACCTGGCTGTCAGTGGTGGACCTATGTACACTTGAGGATGTGCATCTTCACCTCCTGACTTTAAGAATAATGCATGTATGTGTCTTGAATTATGGATTTTTTGTCCCCCAAAATTTATAATTTGAACCCACTACCCTTAATTTTCAATTTTTGTTAATTTTATCTTTTATTAACTAGTTTCTTTCTTATATTTTTGTCTCTTTTTAGCTCACTTTTCATTATTAATGAGTGTTTTCTCTTTTTTATGTAATATTTATGTCTTTATAATATATTTTTTATTTTTTATTTTTTTAATAATCTGTTCCCATTGACTCAAGGTTCTTGTAATATCTCGGAGCCCAGTGTGGTTGAGAATGAGAAATAATATTACATGAGTACATTACTATCTTCATGATTCTACTTTGACATCCCAATATTGTTTTTGAAAGCTTCAGGAGGAACAGTTTTTCCTATTATTAAATAGAAAACTCAATAGATTTTTTTTCTTAATTATTTACCCCTGCTAATGCTATATAGTAGTCAGCATGTTAATATTATTTTCTAAAAGGTAATTATTGCTGTTGCAGTCATTGCTTTGTGATCCCAACCCAAATTCTCCTGCAAACTCAGAAGCAGCTCGAATGTTTAGTGAGAACAAGCGCGAGTACAATCGGAGAGTGAGAGAAATTGTGGAGCAAAGTTGGACAGCTGACTAAGCTCATCTTCATATGCTTGCGTGCCTTTGAAGGCATGAATTAGGTGTCACTGCTGCCTATAAGAAACATCGTGCCAACTCACCGAATTTATGTCGTATTCCTTCCTGTTTTGAATGTTAGGATCATCACATCTTTAATTCATTGTAGTTTTTGCATTGTCCATGTCAGTTCATGTATTATAGAATTCTCTGTCGATTTGCATCATATTGGGACGGTTCAATGTATAAGTTGTAGTTTTCTGAATTGGTTATGAATTGTGATCACAGGATATTATTAAACTAGCTTCAATTTCTATGTTTTCCTTGTCACATTGCATCTAGATGGATCTTGGTTTCAACCTTGTGACCGTGAAGTTGACGTTTCTGCCTATGAATCAGGTGATTGATTTGATCATACTATGATGCTCTCGACAGAGTGCGCTAATGTTTGCCAGAGTATCTTTTGCTTTCTACGTATGATTTAATTTTATATAGATAGGTATAACATGATAAATATGGGTTTAGTAGCGGCATATTACAGGAGAAAGCATAGTCTAGACATATGGGGGAATAATTTACATAACTATTATGGAACTGAAGTTGTCTACTATAGTTTTATCACGTTAGAGGGGTGCCTGTGGGTCCGTGCTCTAGTTTTCAATCACAGCCTTAATCGAAGGATAAAATTTGGCAGTTTTTATATTATTTTCTACTTAAAATTGGAATTTTATTTCAAACTACAAGGAAAGTTTGATTTAAAAAATAAGATCGGTTGTTGAAGTGAAACTTTAATATCAATTGGAGGTCAATACTAGAAATATTAGGAAAATATATTGAAGTTTTATATAAATATTTAATTTGATAGTCGAAGATTACGAGGGTCAATAGGCATAAAAGAAATGTTAAAACACACTCTTTAATAGTCTTTTGGTCACATCTTTTAACTATATTTATTTTTGAGTCTTGCTAGTTGATGAGTTTTTCTTCATGTCTTTTAGTTGTCAACAAATTATAACAGTAATAATGTGTTTGAATGAGTGTGTTGTTAAAAGTTCTTTAGGAATCAAATATGCAATAGTTGTCAATGAAACTTTGGGGTTTATTTATGTCCATTTTTTGTTTTCACTTTGAAAATAAAAAATAGTAATAAAATTTTATTTGATTTTTTTAAAAATGTTTTCTTTAGAAATAATTTCAAAATGAAGCTGAAAACTGAAACAAAAAAAAAAAAATTCTATTTTATTAAGAAAATATACGAGACTAAAACGGGGTGACACTGAATGTAATTATAATTACAGTGTCTTTCATCATTTTCTTCCTCTCGCACCTTTAGAACCTGACCTAGCCCCGTCTCTAATCACCCAACCTATTCCACTGCCAAGTGCCAACTAGTCAACTACGAGATGGACACCATTTTTGTTGCAGCGAGGTCTAATGACTGCGAGAGAGTAGAATGAAACATTGTGGAAATGAAAGCAGCCATGGAATTCAGATAGCAAAGAGAGAACAGAAATCTAGCTGATATGATTGTAACTGCTCCGTTAACTTCCAGTTGGGATGAAAAATATGAATCTTCCTTCTCTACAGCCATGTTTCCTCTGGATTAATCAATAAAAACTTTCCTTTGAAATTATATCATATTATATTATATTATATATTGTAGATTTATTTACATGTAAAGTGTGCATTAATGAAGATACACATTTTTATTATTCGAAATTTATTTGTAAATTTTATCATTTTTTTTAAATGGTTAATACCTAACACATTTTCAATGTATTTATTTTCTGAAAAACAAAAAACAAGAACTCAGCAAACATTTTCTAAATCTATAAATTTGAAAATATATAAGAAAATTAAAATAGAAAAAAAAAATAGGAAACATTTTCTTAAATTAAACATACCCTTAATTGTTTGACCAATTTTTTTGATCTAAAGGTATCAATTGTCACTAGTGGTTGAATACAATTAAAAATGTATTTGACAATATAAAATATTTTTAATCTGCAGTTGAATGCTTGCTGTTATAAAAATATAAAATATTTTTACCTTGTTATTTAATAAATTGTAATATATGGAAACTTATTCAATTTTATAATAATAATTACAACACATGTCTAACATGTAATAGTGAGAGAAAAATTACACTGATAATACATTAAAAAAAACTCTATTTTGATTGTAATTGTAATTACTATCATTCAAATTCATTCAAAAAATTATAAAATAATGAGAAGTTCATTATAAGTATCTTATTTAACATTTCACAATTGGTTGTCACCGATTAGATTTTTTTTTTACAGATAGATGATCTATTTTTTTTTTAAAAAAATTGTAACCTATAAAAAATAGATGTAATTTTGAAAACATCAATTTATATTTGTACCTTTTTTAATCTAATTTATACTTTTTAATGATTAAAGATGCCAATTTAAAGACGATATTGAAGGAGTTAGCACCGTGAGATATTAAAAATTAAAATATGTCTTTCCTTTTATAACTGAAAGTTAAATATTTTCTTGATTTTACAAGGTTTGTCTCAACTCTCAAGGAGTCAAAAAAGTAAACACGAATTTTCATCTAAAGATGTTAGTTAAAAAAAAAAACAAAAATGAACCCCAAGTTCAGATTAAAATATTCTCAATTTGGACAACGTTATTAATGATATAGCATATATGATGGCATGTTCCAATTTAAACATCATTCAACATATATGTTTAACAAAAAAATGAAAATCTGGATAAATACTTGAGAAATAACAAACTTATGAACATGGATGCATATTATGTCAGAAATCTATTCGTCTTATAGCATATAATATATTCTAAAAGCACCTATATAGACTAGACAAACCGGAATATTCAATACAGTTTGGTTTGATTCACAATTACACATAAGAACACAAGCACAAAATATGCCTATTGCCAGCCGATCAAACAATTTTCATCTGTCTTCCTGTAGAGAGGCAAACTGCACACACATAAAACACTGTAGACAAAGTTTGAGAATAAAAAAAAATTTCACATCTGCAAGCTGATCAGTTTACGCGACTTCTGTCAAACTGATCTCATCGGTGGTCTGAACGTCCTACATGGCAGAAGCAATATGCCAGCAGTTAGCCATATATCATTTTTCACAACGTTGTAAAAATCAAACTTCATAGTTCAGTGACTTACCATATTTTCTTTGTTTCCCTGTGCATTGTCTTCAGCAAGTGAAGGGCTGGTTGGAACTGTGAAGGGAAATAATCATTAACCGTTGTTAGACTAGTTGAACCAAAAAATATGATTCAGTGTCAAAAGAGAAATATTGATAATGCACTTCTTGCCTTTTATAACATCGGACTTCTTTCCTTGTTTCTTGACCTCACTCTTTTCCTTATTGCTTTGCTGCTTAGTTGGCTTCTGTGGCTTTTTAACCAACCTACAACTCCCACTTTCAGAAGCAGATTTTGAACTTGCAGAGTTCTTTTTGAGATTTTCTCTCAACCTGGATCCGGGGTTATTCTTTTGGCTAGTTTCCTTCTTGGTTGACTCTGTTGTAACAGGAGTAAGTTGAGTGGATTCAGTGTCCATGATTTCGGGTTTCGGTTTTGCAGTGTCCATAACGGATGAAGAACAGCAGTGTACTTCATCATCAGAGGATCGAGCTCCCTCCTCTGGCATCTGTGAAATGCTCTCAGACACTTGTGGCAGTGAAATGCTTTCAGACATTTGGGCCTGCTCTATATATTCTGCAATACCATAGCTTTGAAACAGTTCTTTCACTGGTTCTCCAAGCTCAGCGAGCTCATGTCGCTTAACATATGATTTTAGCTCATCTTCCATCTTCTGGAACGGCTTTGGTTGACATTGAACAAAAGAATCACGCAAAGAAAAAGTGTTCAATTAATGGCCAAAAATGCAATCCATAGAGATAATATGGCAGCAGTCAAGTGCATCTATATAACATATAAAGACAATTAAAACGTGCTGAAAAGGACTGATACGAGTCTTGTAATGCCTATTGATTTTGGTGTTACCTCACATCTTGCCTCCAAAGCAAGTTTGAATAATCCAAGTGAAATTGTGTGCATGGAAGCAGACTCAGAGAGCATAATCTGCTTTAGCCAATATGAAGAAGAAGATATGAGATTGAACTTCTTTCTTCCCGATGTTCTAGAAATCTCAGAAGCAGGTGTTTGGCTTCTACTTTGATTACCAGACCTCATTGCTCTAGCCTCTGAGATTGGGGTAATGTTGCAAACAGACTTTGAATTAGGAGTTGCAGATGCTTTTTTGACAGGAATGGAAAGCCTTCTTGGTGGCTTAGCACTAGTAGACTTGTCCTTGCCAGAGAAATCAAGACCAACTACACTTTTGCTCACACGTGGAGTATTCAACCCTCTGAAAATGAATGAGTTTTTTAATATACAGTTATACACAGATTTCACAGATCTCACACATACACACAAAAGCCAGTTATTTCATGTTGCCTTGGGAGGAGACAGTGCAAACAGCGAAGCAATTAAAAAGTACTGTAACTCGTGTCAGAACTCAGAAGTAGCTACCCAGAGATATCGACATAGCCATTAGAATTAGTATTTAGTAGAATATCGCAGATCCCGAAACGAAACTGTTTTTTTTTTCTTTCCTTTATATAATATATATATACTATATATATTAGCCTTCGAAATTCTAACAATCTTTTGGTCCCATTTCCCAAACACGTGCTAGATAAAGCAGTGGAACATCAACCTTCAAAATAGAGAATGTTAAGGCCTGGACTTCCGCAATATACAAAATTTGCAACTTCTTCGGGGAAAAAACGTATGTTAAACTAATCATTTCGTTCAAAAGTCAGTCCTGTAAAAACCCTTAAATTTTAGGCACTTAAGAAATATACTATCAGCATAAACCAATGCGCACTAATAAAAGCGGTAAAGAAGAAACTTTTGTTGTTGGTGCCTTGGTGGTGGTGGTTTTTTATTTTTAATTATTGGTGCAGGAAATGACGACATCGATTTATAAAAATCCAAAATAGTAAGATAAAAATTCAACAATAAATACAAACCACCATTGAAATCCGGAAATCTGAGTGATAACATTGAGGAAATGAAGAAGTGAGAAAGTACCTTTTGGAGTCAGAGGAGAGGGGTGCGTCTGGCTTGTTGTCCTTAACTTTAGAGGAGGAACGAAGCGCGTACCTCTGAAGATTGGGTCTGGCAGAGTTACCTGAAAGAGGACCACCCAATTAAATAAACAAATTTTCAGTCTGCATCAAAAGTAAAGAAAGAGATTGAGTACCAGAAGAGAGGGCCTGTTCCTTCACGGGCTCTTCCATCGTCTCCTCTTCTGAAGTCTGAACTGCTTGGTTGCTTTGTAACTGCTGTTGCTACGTTTTATTTTATGTTTGAACCCAGTCATATGAAACGCGTTTCTTTGACGAGGATATTTATAAGGCTCTCTTGTTTCGACACGTGTCCTGGGACGGGGAGCGGGAAAAACGCTATCTCAAAACTCAAAATTTGGTGATGGAGCGCAACCGTAACGGGTGACGTGGAAGAGAGAGAGTGGGATCCATTCCCATGTTCATCTTGTTCCAATTTCAAATTTCAAAAAGCCATATTTGTTCCGTTTCGCTTCGTCAGAAACTGCTTTACAGTTTTGCTTGTTAACGGATTCCCAGACCACTCTTTCTTTTTTCCGTTTTCACAAACTCTTATTTCATTCCTAACTCCTAACAATCCATTTTTTCTTTTATCTTTTCTGTCTTCACTCTTTCACTTCTCTTTAATTTTTTCTTCTTTTAACCCAAAACTGGAATGATCTTGTCCTTTTTCTTCTCGTTTCACTCTCTATTCAAGAGTCCCAAAGGTGATTTTAATGAGCAAAACATATTACACAATTAAGGGTGCATATTTATGATTGCTTCGTCTACTTAGCATACATATATTTACCTATTTACCTATACTAATGTATAAAGGTCTATTCTAATATAGGAAAGAGATATTTTCTATTTTTTTTTAATTATTATACCTTTTTATTTTAAAAAAAATTAAAAATATTTTTTAATTAAATTTAAGAATTTGAAACTATAAATCATTTTTACAATAAATATTTTGGATTTTCATTTTTACATGAATCATTTTATTCTTTATTTATTTTTTTATAACTACTTTTTATGAGTAACTTTTCATTTTTTTTTATTTTTTTTAAATATAATACAGGCACGGAGTACCTTTTTCCTGCTAGTGATGTAATAATATTTATAAAATTTTATTAATAGGAAGACAAAATAATGATTCTACATCAGGACGATTTTAGCTTTCCTGCAATTTATGAAAGAAAATAAATATCATTTTGTTATTATTTTTAGTTAGCATTAACATAGGAGACAACATATATAAGAATTAAATAATAATTAAATTGAATAGTCTCATACCTTTCAATAATTAATCTCAATTCTTTATAGAATACGTCATCCTCATCCATAATTTCTTTGACTTTAAAAACTATAAAAATAAATAATACAATTTCATGTATCAATATGAGATATTTAACATTTCATGAAATTATTTATAGTTTATGAAAAAAATAACATCAACCTCAAAAATGGAGATATTTTGTTTTGCATGAAAGTTGTTAATACGACAAATATTACTCAATCTTACATTTTCAAGTGTTATAATATTGTTAATAAACAGGAGTTAGAATTGATTTAAATGAAGAAATGTTATAATTATATTTTTATATATATCAAATTGACACATATAAGGATTTATTTTTATAACTATATTATTATATTACCTTTCTAATTTTTGAGAATAATTATTTTTTCACCATTTTCTAAAGTTGAGTTTTATCTACTATTATCGTAGAATTCCATCCAATAGAATATACTTTTAAAACGATGAATTTGTAATAAAGAAATTTAAAATTAAATAAATAACAAAAAAATATGAAGATGTCACATTTAAATTAAATTTAACCTTGTTGTCAATTCGGCAAATTGTTGAAAGTGAATATTGATCCTTCCAAATGCTCCATAACTTTTCAAAGTCACCTTCCTAGTAAATATAAGTAATATTATGAAAAAGTGATGATAATAAATTTTCATATTAAAAAATTAAAAAATACATTATTACTTACCTATGTGTCAAAATACATGTTCAAATTCATTTTATTAATCTCTTAATATAATAGGAAAATCTCATTGAATCTTAATTTGACTATAGAAAGAAAAAAGGTTTCAAAATTTATTTTTTTTAGTAAATTATTGAGAGTGAATATTGGTCCTTCCAAATTCTTTCTACAGAGACCCATATCTATTGTTATAAATTATAGATTATGGATTATAGATGTTATAGATTATAGATCATAAATTATAGATTGTAAATTATGGATTATAAATTATAGATTATGAATGTTATAGATAGATATGTGTTATAGATACCAAAATACAATATAAATATATAAATATTGAGGAACTAAAAATGTCTATTTGTACCATCATATAGAATTTTGAAAATTATAGAAAGAGTTAAACATGCACTTAATTGAGTTCAATATAAATAGTATAATAAAGAAGGAAAGAAAAAAAGCAAGAGTACATTATCCAAAGCCATCAAAGAAGCAAATATAATCACCAAAACTTTATTTGTTGTGTAAGGTTCCAATAAAATCCTATATGAAAAAATTTAAATAAAAAATAATTGAAAACAAAAATGTAATGAAGAAACTAAAAGTCAACTATATCAATAAATAAAAAAATAATTTAAAAATTCACGAATAAATCAAAGTATGATTATTCACAAAGAGCAAAAAAATTGAAAAATAAAAAAGGTAGGAAATATTATAACACAGGTGTTCTTATAATTATTTTAACAATCTTCAAATTCTATATATTTTATGGGTGGGTAATGGTCAAGGTTGGACAATAGATATGAAAATATGACTATTAATTATGTAGCTACAATTTATAATTTACATCATCATATTATAGAGACCCTCACAATTCACCCAACTCACCTATGTACAATGTTAAAAAAAATGGTAAATATGACTATAAAGAGTTGAAAAGTTAAAAATCAACTAAATTACATTAAGAAAAAAAGTTGAACAATACAAAATAAATAAACATCGGTTGGCCCCAAATCTTATCCTAATAAATGTTAAAAATTTATGATATTAAAAACACAACTTATAAAATTAACATAATTTCATGGTAATAAATGATTAAAGTTGAGAAACACATTGAATTTATTATTTTTAAGTTTAATAAAAAATATATATATATATAAAATAAAATTTGAGTAAATATTATTTAGTTTAAAATTACTAAATTTAATTTTATTGTATAAATTATTAACATAATTTCATGGTAAAAAATAATTAAAGTTGAGAAACACATTTAATTTATGAATTTTAAGTTTAATTTTTTATTTGTTAAAAAATGAATAAACATAATTTTAAAAAAATGACTAAAGTTAATAATTTAGTTAAATAATAATAATAATTTAAAAAAAAACTGAAAAGAAATTAAATCTATACATATTTTAATTTTTGAACTATTGTATTCTTTTAAAATAATAAAAAATAATTTCCAAAATTAACTAAACGTTAAAAATAAAATATATTATTTTTCTTTATTTTATTGACCAATGAAGTTACCATTCAATATATAACCTCTGCAAACTACCCATTGGTACAATTAGTTATGAGTTGGTTACTATTCCTAAAGAAACCGCTCATTCTTTAGAGCACTTTGATATCTTTCTTCAACTTTGACGGATATTTCTGAAATATTATGTTTTATCTTTTGAGAAACTCAACTTTTAAATGTTGAATAAGTTTATTTGATTATAATTTTTAAACTGAATTTCTATAGCTTTAAAATCGTTATAAATATTCATTTCAAAAAGACTTTACTAGATTTTGCCTTCATCTTTCTCCATGTTAAATGAAGAAAGACTTTGATTTTTTTATATAATTTTTTATTATATATAGACAAAATCTGATAAAGAACAATTATGCTATCTTGTGGATGAATGAATACGGAGTGGAGTTTTAAATAGGGATGGCAAAACGGGCCAGCCCGGCCCGTTTTGGCCCGGCTTGCTAAAAATGGGCCGGGTCGGGCCCGTCCGCCAATGTAAAACGGGCTAGAGATCCTGGCCCGCCCCGCCTAAGGACCGCCCCGCCTAAGGGCCCGCTTACAAAAATAAAAAATAAAAAAAAAATGAAAAAAAAATATTTTATGGTCAAATAATTTTTTTTTACTACAAATAAATAAATATAACCATATGAAATTAAAAATGCATACATATTGTACATAATATATGTTCAACAAAAATAAATTACAAACTTAGAACAAAATTAAATAGAAATTAGTCCATTTACACCAAAATAAAAACCAAATTATAAACTTATAAATTATTTATAAACTAAATTTTTTGATAGTCTACAAAACAAGTTTAAATACAATTAATTAATCATCTTCATCCTCATCTTCTACATCAAAATAAAATAAACATAAAAATAATTAAATTAAAAAAAAAATTATGCGGGCCGGCGGGTTGTGGCGGGCTTGGCAGGGCGGGCTTGACGGGTTGGCGGGTTGAAATGATTGGCCCGGCCCGCGGGCCATGGCCCACTTTGCCATCCCTAGTTTTAAAATCGTATTTGTGCCTCTATTAAATTTATCCGTCATATATTCGAAAGGTGTCATAATAAGATAGTTTTACCATTTATTTACTTATTTATGTAATTTATCTTTAAACATGATAAATGGGGACTCAGTTATTGATACAAAGCAAAAAATAGAAATTACCAATTGCGTTGTATGAAAGAATGACTCCTCTACGGTTGCTATCAAAGTGACCACACACAAAGAAGAGTTTTACCTTGCAAACCCGATCAACAAATATAGCGAAGTCAGTAAAATAAAAACACGTAGTAGAAAAACATGAAGATGAGAGACAAAGATTGTACCAAAGAATAAAAATAATAAGGTGTGAGAGAGATGGAAAGTGGGGGATGCGAGAGATATAATGAAGTCAATAAAACAAAAATACGTAGTAGAAAAAAATGAAGATGAGAGACAAAGATTGTACGGAGGATAAAAAGAATAGGGCGTGATAGAGATGAAAAGTGAGAGATGCAGGATAAATGAATATAAATTATAAGAAGAAGTGAAGTAGCAGTTTGACGGTTTATAAATTTTGAATGAAGTAGTTACAAATTTAAGAAGTAATTTTATTATCTATATTAAAGGTACCTTGGTTTATAAATATTATTTTCTAAAACTACCTTGGTTTCCATATTTTGTTGACCATTGTACCCTTCCATTTTTTAAAATTACTATATTACTATACTAATATATAAAGGAGATATCCTTTTTAGTAACCATTTTGATCTCTGTTGGATCGAGCGCTTACCACTAGGCCAAAAGCTATAGTTGAGGGCGCAACTCTTTATACTTAAGAGCGTAACAGCTCAAGCGCCATGATTCGGCTTTGATACCAATTGTTGGATCGAGCGCTTACTACTAGGCCAAAAGTTATAGCTGATAGTCAGGGCGCAACTCTTTCTACTTAAGAGCGTAGCAGCCCAAGCGCCATGATTCGACAGTGACTTGGTTCACCTAGCCTCACGGGACAATTGATGCAACCCGCAACAATCTCCATACTCTGTTGATCATTGTACCCATTTATTTTAAAAAAATTATAAAAAATAATATTTTTTTATCAAATTTAAGAACTTGAAACTAATAGACTAATTATAACACCAATTAGACTATTTTTATTTTTATTTTATTTTTATTAAAGACACGAAGTGTCTTAATCCTACTAGTATATAATAAAACAAACAATTTTAAGTATTAACAAACAATTGTTTTATGTTAGGTATTATAAATTATAAATAAGAGGAATGGATGATAAAAAATTAAATTAAAATACTGACTGGTCTACAATAGAAAAAAATTAAATTACAGTCATTACATTATCTAAAAGCCTTAATATTGATTTTGAGTTCCTCGAGAAAAAGTAATATGATTTTTACTATTTTTTTTTGTATTATCATGTATTTTTAGATATAAAAAATATATTTTTTTTATCAGGTTTATTTTATTTTAGCGAGTACTTAGTCCAATCTATTGCTGTGGAAACTAATTATTTAGAGCACCTCCAGCGGAGGGTGCTTGTGTTGTGTCTTAAAAATAAGCAACGGAGCTTATTAAAAACTTCCATTGGAGTGATCTTACGTGGTATTTGAGTTGCTTAAATTTTTTTCTGTGTTGCTTGTACAAGGGACTTTGCTTAGCATTGAGGAGAGAAATCTGATTGGCTAAAATGCATCTATGTGGATCAAATTTAAGAAAATAAAAAAAATTGAAAAAACGTGTTCACTTCATCTTCGTCTCCTCCGCACGACGGACCACCCTCCCCGCGCGCAGCTCTCGACCGGACCGCCTTCCCTCGCGCGCGGCTCCGAGCGGACCCGCACCCCGTACGCAGCTCCCGACTGGACCTCCTTCCCCCGTGCGCGCAGCTCCCACTAGACCCCCTCCCCCTGCGCGCGGCTGCCAACCGGAACCCCCTCCCCCGCGTGTGTGGCTCAGCAAATAGAGAGAAAGAGAGACGTTCCTTTGAGTTTGAGAGAAAGAGAGACCGAGGAGAAAAAGAATGAGATGTGTGAGAGACGTGCGTCAAAAAGAAAAATGAGAAAGAGCCGTTGCAATTTTTTGATTATTATAATTTTTTATTGTAATTTTTTTATTGTAATTTTTATTATTGTAATTTTATTATTGTAATTTTATTATTGTAATTTTTAATATTATTTTATTATTGTAATTTTTTAATTGTAATTTTTATTATTGTAATTTTTGGTATTTTTTTATTATTGTAATTTTTTTAATTATGTAATTTGTTTTGTTAATTATTTATATTTATATATTATTTATAATAATTAATTTTATAAAATTATCATAAAATGTAGTGTGAGGTATCAAAAAGTGTAGTATGAGTTGTAAAAAAGTAGGAGTGCTTATAAGCAATTTCCATTAGAACAAAAATTATAAAAATATAGTATGAATTGCTTATGAATGACTTGACATAATGAGACCTATTTAAAGTGATTGAAAGTTACTTATAAACAACTCCTACCGTAGATGTTCTTAGACCTGTAGAGGTTAGAGAAATTTAACCGCATATTCAAAAGAAAGAAACAGAGTGACAGGGGGAGAGAAAGAAAGAGAGTGAGATAACGATCCGAAACCGCACTCCGATCCAAAACCCTCTTCGAAATCGCACTTCGATCCGAAACCCTCTTCGAAACCGCACTTCGATCCGAAACCTTAACCTAAGTTAACGTGCCTCGATGGAGCTTCGTTCTTGTTGATCCCTTTCCAATCCCATAGTTTCTGGTAGGCATAATCTTTTCGATTTTCTCTTTTACTTTCTTTTTCCTAATTTCAGAACTTCTTTATTTTTCCGAAACCCTAACCTAAGTTAACGTGCCTCGATGGAGCTTCGTTCTTGTTGATCCCTTTCCAATCCCATAGTTTCTGGTAGGCATAATCTTTTCGATTTTCTCTTTTACTTTCTTTTTCCTAATTTCAGAACTTCTTTATTTTCTTTACTCTCTAGTTTGGACGCAGGCCTTTTCATGAACCATTTTTTTTCTTAATTTCATTTTGCTTGTTTGTTACTTGAATCTGTTTTGGTTGTGTTATTTTTCTTTTTGTGTTTATGCGAAACGCGATTTCGATATTTTTGATCGGTTGAAGTTTTGAAAACAAGAAGACTGAGGCACTGTGTCAATTTCAGGGATATTGATTATCACATTGCTCTTCATGTTGCCGCGTGTGAGGGATTCACTGAGGTCGTTGAGTTTTTGCTCCAGAAAGTTGCCGAAGTTGACGCCAAGGATCGATGGGGAAGCACGGTAATAACTACACTTTTTTTTTTAAATTTTTGATTTGGTTTAGTACCGTAAGTGATTGTGAATTTGGGATTTGATGTTTGGCTATTGGCATGGTTTGGTTGTGTTGTTAATTATGGTTTCGTGTGACAAAAGCCAATAACATTGCCATAGATTTTGTTTAAGGAAGGTCTAAGGTTTGGCTTCAGCCTTCAGGTCGTTGTATCTTGATTTACTATTGTTTGACTAGTCAAAATGACAAATGCTTTATCCTTTTGAGTGTATTTGTTCTGTGGATTGTAATGCTCAAATAAATGGTTGTAGATTAAGTTAGAGGCATTCTGTACACATAATTGTGTTTCACTTTGCATGGGGTGGTTGACTAATTGTCTAGGCTTGAGTTTCTTTTAAGGGTACGCTTGAGTAAACTTTTCCATAATCACTTCTAAGGAAAAAAAAAAGGAAGTAAAATTGAAATAAACTTTACCATAAGTTAAAATCAGCCTTATACATAAGTTAAAAATAAGATTTTGGTGAAAGCAAATAAAAGAAAACTTCTACAAATTAGTTTATACATAAGCTAATTATAGCTTTTGGAAAAATTTATTTCATTTTATCTTCCTATTTTTTTCTCTCCTAGAAATGTTTTGGGAGAAGATTATCCAAATAGGCCTAAAGTTAGCTTCTCCTCTTATCAAAAGGACTTTGATCTTACATTTGGTTACACTAGTGTTTATTTGGCAGGGTGTTTCCATATCTGAATTTCAAAAGCAAATACTTCTATTGCATGTTGTCTTTGCGCTTGCATGGTTGATAAAAATTGTGACGTGAGTAAATGTCAAGGGGATATAAGTGAAGTAAAAGATTGAAAATGTGATTGATCTTGTGGTGTAAATTGCACTAGGTATCTTTCTGCTTGATGTGTTGGACTATTAATTGTAATTGTCCTTATCCTTAGTTTAATTCCTAACGAAGTGATAAGAAGCTTCTGCTTAAATTTTTCTGTAGTCTTGTCTTCAAACTCCTCATTTTCCTCTTCTTTGTATTCTGTAGTGACTGTTCCATGGTCTTTTGTACGGGCTAGGGATGATGTTGTTGTTGAAGATGAAACTAATGGCGAGTTTCTATTGTATCTTCATATTTGGATATAGTTTATGATCCTAATTCAGGTTCTGACTTTGAAGGTAAGTTGTTTGACTCTCTGATTTTAAACTCTGAATATTTTAATTTCATTGCATGTCTAGTAGTTTGAGTTTTTCTTGTCACGAGATTTCTTGGTCACATTCCTCTCTCAAGTTTTCCTTTATTTTTTTTCTACATAATTCTTGATATATAGATCATAGGGTTTGATTCTTTTATTAGATACTAGGTAAAATGAACATTGTTGCATGGGCTAGCAAAGAAGAGGAGGATAAGGATGCATCTACTTCCTTGAAAACAAAAGCAGAAGCACCTAAGAGTGTCATTGAAGTACGTGCAGTAGCATGAGAGGAAGCTGAGAAGGCTAAGTATATGGCCAGGTCAGTTCATACTGATTATTGATGTTAACATTATCTGTAACTTCTGTTGCTTTAGAGATGTAAATCCATTAACATGCCCAATTATTCATAATTAAATTAAATTTCATCAAGTAAAGGGTGCTGCCAAATAAAGCTTGCATGAGGGGCCTGTGACATCTCATCTCAAAGATATAAAACTATTACAGTGCATTCGCTTGATAGCTGAAGCTTTCAAGAGCACTGGACTTTATCAATTGTCTATTTATTTTTGCTACAAACAGGCCCATGAATATTTGTCAAAAGAATCTGGACCTACCATTTTCTTTAGGTGTTTAATTAATATTTCTACTACATTTCTTCTGTAAGTAGCATTTTGTAAAGCTTTTTAATGTTTGCGGATTCCCCTGGTTTCTTGATAATAAGCTACTTGGATTTTTATGTTTTGTTTGATTCTTTTATTAGATATTACTTTTGAGTTTTGATTAATATTTTTTTTTCTTTTATCTTTTTTGTACAGAATAAATAGATAATGGTTGCAATTATTTTTCTCTTAAAGTCCAAATGATTTTTCAGTTTCATTTTTTTTTCATTTAGGGTTTAGATGGATATTAATTTTTTAAATAACTCCTATAATTCCAGTCAAAGACAAAAAATTTGGTTGAGTGTCTGTTAATCAACTCAATCTAGTAGTCCTTAGTAAAGATTGAAACACACTTTGTAATCCTATACTTTCTTGGAAAACTTAAGCTCAACAATTTGTTCTAAGTTTGCCAATTGCATGTTATTCATTTAGTCCGCCTTTTAGAAAATAGCTTAGCAGTAAGCATGAGGAATACTTTCCAATCTTTAACATTATCTGTTCCACTAATTGCTCCAAAGCCAAAGCTAAAGAGGAGAGGGCTATGTAGGGTTAGCTTGTTATTTTCATGAGATGTTGCACGCATGATAATTATAAACTAGCAAAAATGTCCTCTTCTTTAAAGACAATCTTTGTTAATAGTTATGTTTAGTTGTTTATAAGTAGGTTCACTTTCACTAAATAATGTTTCAGTTTACTATTGTACTATAAATAATTGTTAATTATTTTTCACAATGTTCCTACTTTTTTGTTCGTTTCATTTTTCCTTTTATTTTGGAACACAATGTACTAAGTGTGTGATCTCTTAACACCTTCAATTTCTCAATTCCAAAAGCATGGTAGTTATGATTATAGATTGATAGCAAGAAATGGTTTCAGTTAAATTGTTGAGAAACTTTGCTAAGGCATATTATCTAATGCATTAGTAAGTTTCTTGCATTTAGGAAATATTATTTGTTATTTATTATTTATACTATGTTATACATTTGTAGGAAGAATTTGTAGGGGAGGCTGAGTTGATCAAAAGTAAGGGCTCAGGAGTTGAAGGGTAAAGAGATGAGCTATTTATTTATGAATTTGTATACTATTATACCATGGGCTTATGTTTCTTTCTTTCTTTCCTTCCTTTGATTATTCCTATTGTTTCTATTTTCTTTTTATTTTAAAACACTCATAGAAGTTGAGTTTTAAAAGGGGAGAGAAATTGATTTTTTTTGTCCAAAGGAAAAGGTGGAGGTTGTTAGCTTCCATCAAGAGGAAGTTAGCAATGTAATATGTGTGTGTATGTGATAGAAAAAATGTTATAATTAGTGAAGTATCCTTCCAAACACATAATAGCAAAATGATGGAAAAAATAGGAAAGCTAAGAATGCAGTTAGGCTACCCATGAACGATCATGGGTATAAAGCCATCAGAGGTTTAAAATGCAATCTTATTTGAAAATGGATTTAACATCAGTATAGCACTCTCAAAGATGCATTTGTTGAAACTCTAACCAAGGTATACAGAATATAAGGCATTTTTCTTTTCATTAAAGCAAATATAACAAACCATCAGGAACTGCTGCAAGGTAGAAGATTGTTCCAATGGAACGTAATCTCGACAGTTGAGATAAACCAGTACGAAATAACCTAGTGTTGTTCTTTCTTATCTATTCGTTTGCACTTTTAAAGTTAAGTTATTACTTTGTCGTGTAAAAAAATGTGAGCATTTGATTAACACTATTCAACCTTTCCTTTTAGTGTCTTTATTTTCTTCACACTCTTCCTTTTTACTTGTTTAGTTTACCTTATTGTATATTATATTATATTGTTGTATAATCTGTTGTAAAAACAAGTTTACTAAAAAAAACTTTTTTTTAAGAAGAATACTCTAAGTTTAAATATCAAGAAGTTTATCTTCCAAAGAACAACTTTTCATAAAGAACTATTTTTCAAAGTATAAAATTATTTAACCCCTTTCTTTTAGCTTAACATTTACTTTAACTCACTCTTACAATTACAATTGTAATTGTCCATGTTTTTTTAGATTTTTAATGACTCATTTTTATTTATTTTTTATTTATAAGATTGTTATTTTTTTTTATGAGAAAAAAGGTTTCATAATTTTTATATTTTCAATATTTTATCTTTTCAAATAATTATAAAATGCATGATAAAGTAAGAATTATTCAATTCATAAAGATACTGTTAAATAAAATGTAAAATATTTAAAATATAATGAAATATTAGCATGGACAACCGTGGATATTATTTTTCTCTCTTTACAATCTTATATATATATATATATATATTTATTATATAAAAAATAGGAAGTATCACTAGTGTAACATATTATCTCTCGTTATTTTAAAAACAAAAATACCACGCGTGTTTGTATAATAATGTGGATCGAATTTTAAATGTATATTTTTTAGTATTCAAGGAACCTGTTTTTTGTGTTAATAAACTTATCCATTATTCAAAGATTATAAAAATAATGCAAAAATAATTTTATTTAATATTTAAACAATATTCAAATAATTTGAATTATGTATAATATTGTGGATTGAATTTTAAATATATATTTTTGAGTATCCAAGATAAATATCCAAACAAGTTTTTTGTGTTAATAAACTCATTCATTATTCAAAAATTATAAAAATAATGCAAAAATAATTTTATTTAAATAATATTCAAATAATTTGAATTAATATTAATAGGGAATTATTCATTTAATGATATTTATGCTCTTCTTCTTTCACCCAGATTTTGTGAAATCAATTCCCCCCGATCGTTGCGTTATGGCCCACCAGCCAAAGAGGGGTGCAACCCCTCCGCCGCGGAGATTGAGTTGATGAACTCGTGGCTGATCTTATTCTCATATGGTGTGGACGGTGATATTGGTGGTGAGAACCGATCCCATGTGGTATGTCAACTTCACGAAATTAGAGGAACCCTTGTATTTCTTGGAGTCTTTGAAGGCGTAATCGGTGGTGTTCATTTTGTTGTTCTGCGGTAGCCACGGCTGCCATGCGGAGGCCGGAGCCGCGACGAGGAGGAGGAGGAGGGTGACTGAGATGCGCGCCGTACTGGGTGGCGATGATGGCACATTTTTTGGGGGGTTTAGGGTTTAGTAGTTGGGGTTAGTGAGGTGAGTATGAAACGTGATGTTTCAGTGGGCGAAGGTTCTTTAGAGAACCGGTTGCATCACCACCGGCGGCTTGCCCTTTGCGATTTTATCAAGGATTGACTATTCTTTTTGTGGTTATTTAAATTGTTTTTGCTTTGTAAAATCACACTTTGTAATTTGATCAAGGATCACTACTAACTATAGCTTTGGAAATGGGTGTCTATTTTTTGACCCTGCACTTTCTATATTTGGAAATGGTGGTAACTTTGTCATTATTCAAGACGCTTTTGATAGGTACAAAGGGATCTTGTTTAAGCATGGTGACATGTTCTATTTTCTCAACCCTGGACCTTCTCTCTCTGTTAATGGTGCTGCCTCTACCATTGTTCGAGATGCTTTTGATAAATACAAAGGGATCTTGTTCAAGCATGGTGACAGGTTCAATTTTCTCAACCCTACACTTTCTCTCTCTAGAAATGGTGTTGCCTCTGCCATTGTTCGAGATCCTTTTGATAGATACAAAGGGATCTTGTTTAAGCACGGTGACAGGTTCGGTTTTCTCCGAACACTTAGGCCTGCCTATGATGTTTCCCAAATGAACATCATTGTTCTTTCCGATATTGAAGAGGTGTGCCTTTTTAAATTATTTTTTGATTTCCCTTTTATGGCTTTTGATCAAGATTTTCAGAATGATAGTGATTCTGTTGTTGAAGTTCTTGTTCTTTTACATAATAAATCTGGTCCTTGTTAGAGGTATGATGATGTCTTTTTGTATACTCATTCTCTTCCTTGATTGGTTTTCTATTGACAAATTTTGTACATCAACATTGTAGAAATAAGGGCTTTTCCAGATTAAGTCAGTAGCGAGTCTCACCATCTCTTCTTGCCTTCCTTTTAGTTTCCTCTTATATTGTTAAGGCTTCTTTTGATGTGAAAAGATATATTATTATGATTCCAGGTGTATATGCTTCGATTACAAACATAATAATTATTGATCTTGGTGTTCATAAATTTGAGTTTGTTTTTTATGGATTTCTTGCAGGTCCAATTTGACACCATGGATTTATCTGACAATGAGATTGTCAAATTGGAAAATGTGCCATGATCTTAACCGGTTGGGTACAAAGCTCATTAGTAACAATAGGATTACTAGAATTAATCTCAACATTGGAGGTCTGGTTTGAACTTTGAAATGCACATCCTCTTTCCATTAGTGATGTCTTTCCTTCTAGTTGTAAGCTACACAACGTGGTTATCTAGATTATTGTTGCATTTGTATTGTAGAATTTTTGCCAAAACTAGACACTAGTTCTCACAAACAACAGAATTGTAAACTTGGTAGAAATTGATCCTTTAGCATCCCTTTCAAAGCTGCAGTTACTTGGTCTGTCAGACAACAATATTACAAAGAAAGCAAATTGCAGGCTTTATGTTATTAACAAGCTGAAATCCCTCCGGGTTTTGGATTTCAAGTAATTGAAATATAAGGTAATGTTTTATTTTTCACCATGTAGATTTTATTGGCTTGTTGTTTGCAATATGAAAGATAGGATGTTCCGGTAATGTTTCCGTTCAATTAGAAAACAGAACTACCCCTGGCTTGCTCTGAACACCAAGTCCAAGTGCGGAAATTTTACTACATATAGATGTAGATTATAAAACAGATTAGAAAACAATTGTTTGTTACTTGTCCCATGAATTTGTACATTGTCTCTGAAGTGATATAGATTTTCTGTTTCTGTACACATAAAAGAAGAAAAATTCTCTTATCTATTTTTTCTAACTGGACTGCCTCTGCCACCTAAATGTTTATATAACTTAAAAATTACCATCTTTATGTTGATTTGGGTCTATTGTCACCCCTGTTGTTGATGCGGTGGTGTTTTTTGTAGCTATAAGCAAGTCTTGGCAACTGCAAATTAACATGAAACCAAATTGCCACAAATAGAAATAGATTCCATAAATTATATGTACCATGTATATTGTGCTTTCTAAGAATACCATTGACTGCAGAGAATCCTCATCCTTAGTGATCCTAGTTCCCTAAATTAGTTAAAACATAACGCATTAGTTAAAATTAAGGGTTAAGATTCAAACTTCTTACGATTCAAAATTCTTTCAAAATTAACGCATTAGTTCCCTAAATTAGTCATTATTTGTCTTTGTATTCTCAAACTTTTTTAAAACCTCAGGCAGATTCATATCAACTGATTGGTGACATTTCCCAAATGAACATCACTGTTCATTCCGACAGTGAAGAGCTGAGCCTTTTTCAATTATTTTTTGATTTCCCTTTTCTGGGTATTGATCAAGATTTTTAGATTGGGAACTTGTGTTGCAGTTTCAACTTGGAGTGGATGAAAGAAAGCTACAATCTGCCTGTTTCAAGACCCCGGGTGCATTTTGGTAACGGGCAAGTTTCAATTGAGGTGTGGTTTGTTTTGAATTTTATGGTGTATTTGTGGGCACTTATATATGACTATTTGGTATTGCATTTGAATATTGAATGAGATTATGTTGTTGTGTACTTCAACTATGAAGTACATATATGATTTTATTAAGAAGAATAGAGTGGTTAATTAAGTATATATCCTTAATACATTAATGAATGAGCATGGTAGTATATGCGATGTAGAAGCAAAAGCAAATCTTAAGTAGCAGGGTTACTTTTATAGTTTCCAAAAATTGAATTATTTTTTGTAGGTACTGGTTTTGGGGTATTTTGGGCCAGATCTATGTTATTTAAATCCTCAGTGTTAGTTTGCTCTTAGGTGCTAAAATATAAAACTTAGGTGCTAATGAGTTGCAAAATTTAATGTTCTTGCACTCCTTTTAGTTTGCTCTTATATTGTTATGCTTTTTTTCATGTGAAGATATATTATTATGATTCCATGTTTATATGCTTTGATTACAAACATAATTATTATTCACCTTAGTGTTCATAAAATTGAGTTTCTTTTTAATGGATTTCTTGCAGGACCAATTTGACACCATAGATTTATGCCGCAATGAGATTGTCAAACTGGAAAACGTGCCATATCTTAACCGGTTGGTTACAAAGCTCACGTGTAACTATGATTTCTAGAATTAATCCCAACATTGGAGGTATGGTTTGATGTGGTTCTCTAGATTCTTGTGCATTTGTATTGTAGAAATTTCGGAAAATTACACACTAGTTCTCACAAAAAACAGAATTGTAAACTTGGTAGAAATTGATGTCTCATTTAATTGTTATGTTTTCTATTATGAAAAGGATTGTTATAACAGGCATTGAAGTTTGGCTAGCTTCATGAAGATTTATAAAGATTGAATGATGAGGATGTAGATCGTGATGATAAAGTTCAAGTTAATTGTGAATCTAGTAATACACGACTAGAAAAATATCATTGTGTTTCAATGGAACATGTATTTATTAACTATGCTTTTATTTTATATGTTTGTGCCAGGTTTAGGGTTTGGGTTTTGGGGCGTAGGGCTTATGGTTTGTTAAATAAAAATAAATTCTTATTATTAATTATTTTAGGGCTTGGGGCTTGGAGTTTAGGGGTTTTAGGTTTTAGGGTTTAGGGCATGGGGCATGGGGCACGGGGCATGGTTTGTGGTTTGTGGTTTGTGGGGTTCGGGGTTAGGGGTTAGGGGTTTAGGGTTTAGGGTTTAGGGTTTAGGGATTACCTACCAAATACACTTGATTGCATAAATTGCACAGCCTCTTTGATGTTAAGAATTAGTTGTATCTGGTTCTTATGGTACCCGTGTCAAACATACATAATTATTTGTCAGCTTAAATGGAAATTCAGTTCTTGAATGCATATGATTCATTTGTGTTGATGATTTCAGGTCCAATTTAATACCGGACTCCTATATCAACAAACCAAATTCAAATTCAACCTTCTCGAAGAAGAGAGTGAGCATTATGCAAAGCTGGTATAATCATAGTTTATTATTTCTTATATTATTGAATGTAGTAGAAAATAGTCTCCCACTAAATAGTGTTTATTTATGTTAATTATTAAGTTTATTTATGTTATTTGGCATAATCACTAAGTAAATTTGGATTCAAATAGAGAATAATATAACTTTTCCAACAACTGAAATAAGTTAAACAATTAAGGTGAATGAATTACATACAAAGGTTTGACCAATTATATGCACTAGATCTGTTTCTAATGCCATTCATTACCATATTTCCCTCTTAATTTTTTTTATCAATATTATTTCTTAGATATTAATAGCCATCTGCTAGCTTTTTCTTCTTTTGTCTTTTATGTGTGTTTAATTTTACACACTCCTTGCTCCTATTAGGATGAGAATTGAACTTGAAACTTTTACTTCTCTAATGCGTTGTTTGGTTTAAAGGATAAGAATTTAGTCCCCTCCCTTCTAAAATTTTGAACCAAACAATAATTGAGAGAGCTATGAAGGGAAATGAAGATGGAACACATGAAGGGTGAGGCTAATCCAGCCCTGGGTTAATTTAAATCTTGTAGTCTATTTATGCTGAATACTTGTATTATAATTATATTGTTTCAGCATTTATGAAACTTGTGATGTGAAAAGGATGATCATCAGAATATATAGTATGAAATTGAAATAGTTTGTGGTCGGGAATAGAAATCCGAAAATGATTGCAAGAAATGTATATTTGTTGAAGCATGTATTTGACAAGCTAAGCCAATGATGATGGGTGTATGGTTGAAGTTATAAGGTTTAAGGTTGTGGGTGAAGTATTTTTTGACTTTTGAGTGTTATCCTGTTTGATAGGGGTAAATCATTGTTATATATATTATATATTATGTTATGCTTAGAAGAGGAGTTACTAGGCTGCAGGTGTATGAAAGCCAAAGGAGGAATAAGGGGTAGAATTTGTTAAGAGAGAAATTTGTGAATAATAGCAACCAGGCTAGTTGGTATACTTGGAGTGAATAAAAGAATGGAATTCTAGTATTAGACCAAAATGGAAGGAAGAGGTAAGATAAAGTGATGGAGCTAGAGGAGGAAAGATAAAGGCTCTGCATATTTGCTGCATCTATGTGCATTTGTTTTTTGTTCTACAGTTGTTTTTTTAGGCGGTTTACCTTTGTTGTAAGGAGCAAACTCCAAATTTTCTCTTCACATATTATAAGTTTATACTTCATATTTATTATTTTACTTAATATTCATGCATATTTTCCTATTGGTTGTGGCAGCTGTTGGCTTGAAGTGAAAAAGGCGTGAGATCCCACCTGATATCTCACAAGATTACACTATTTTTAGTTGTCCTAGGTACGTGCCAAATTCCAAAATGATTTTCTTGCCATCTCTAAATTTAACTTGAAGGTAGTAGTATCTATCCATTCAGGGGAATGGAGCATACACAATTTTTTGTTAAAATTATTTATAAATCATACTGAATTGCATTGCTCATCTGTTTTGTTTTAATTTTCTCTGTTTTTTTTTTCTTCTGCTTTTTAGAATGCTGAAGATGTATTGCCTCTATGCTAATCTTGTAATGTTTCTACCATGCTAATCTTGGGCATTTCTTATGCTTAAAAGTTAGCAATTCTATCAATAAATTCATTTTATTAATAGTTTTTATTTATTTATTTATTTTCATCAATTAGAGTTTAATTATTTATTTTAAATGTCAATCATTTATAATATTTTTATATTTTTATTACAAATATTTTATATATCTTAAAAATATGAATTAAAACTGATATAATAAAAATTTAATGAAATTAGTAGATAAAATATTATCCATTACTTAACATCCTGATATAGAAAAAATATATTATCCACCAAAAGCAACAAAAGAAAGAAAAAAAATAAAAAAAAAGACAAATACTATCCACTTAAAATATAAAAAATATTATTTAAACTAATAAATTTAAGATGAAATTGATAATTAATTTTCATTAATAATTATTAAATTATTTTAATCTAATTATTTTTTTTATACATAAGCTAATTATAGCTTTTGGAAAAATTTATTTCATTTTTTATCTTCCTATTTTTTTCTCTCCTAGAAATGTTTTTGGAGAAGATTATCCAAATAGGCCTTAAGTTAGCTTCTCCTCTTATCATAAGGACTTTGATCTTACATTTGGTTACACTAGCGTTTATTTGGCAGGGTGTTTCCATATCTGAATTTCAAAAGCAAATACTTATATTGCATGTTGTCTTCACGCTTGCCTGGTTAATAAAAACTGTATGACGTGAGTAAATGTCAATAGGATATAAGTGAAGTAAAAAATTGAAAATGTGATTAATCTTGTGGTGTAAATTGTACTAGGTTTCTTTCTGCTTGATGTGTTGGACTATTAATTGTAATTGTCCTTATCCTTAGTTTAATTCCTAATGAAGTGATAAGAAGTTTCTGCTTAAATTGTTCTGTAGTCTTGTCTTCAAACTCCTCATTTTCCTCTTCTTTGTACTTCTGTACGGGCTACTTTCGATTCTTTTTTTTTTTTTTTTACCAAAAAGGCATTAACATTTTATTGTGTGAATTGGAAAGCAGGGAAGGAGGAGCAGCCTAGGGATGATGTTGTTGTTGAAGATGAAACTAATGGCGGGTTTCTATTGTATCTTCATATTTGGATATAGTTTATGATCCTGATTCAGGTTCTGACTTTGAAGGTAAATTGTTTGACTCTCTGATTTTAAACTCTGAATATCTTAATTTCATTGCACGTCTAGTAGTTTGAGTTTTTCTTGTCACGAGATTTCACGGTCACATTCCTGTCTCAAGTTTTCCTTTATTTTATTTTTTTCTACATAATTCTTGATATACAGATCCACATGGTTTGATTCTTTTATTAGATACTAGGTAAAATGAACATTGTTGCATGGGTAGCAAAGAAGAGGAGGATAAGGATGCATCCACTTCCTTGAAAACAAAAGCAGAACCACCTAAGAGTGTCATTGAAGCACGTGCAGTAGCATGGGAGGAAGTTGAGAAGGCCAAGTATATGGCCAGGTCTGTTCATACTGATTATTGATGTTAACATTATCTGTAACTTCTGTTGCTTTAGAGATGTAAATCCATTAACATGCCCAATTATTCATAATTAAATTAAATTTCATCAAATAAAGGGTTCTGCCCAAATAAAACTTGCATGAGGGGCCTGTGACATCTCATCTCAAAGATATAAAACTATTACAGTGCATTCACTTAATAGCTGAAGCTTTCAAGAGCACTGGACTTCATCAATTGTCTATTTATTTTTGCTACAAATAGACCCATGAATATTTGTCAAAAGAATCTGGACCTACCATTTTCTTTAGGTGTTTAATCCTGTAAAAAGTAATATTGCTACTACATTTCTTCTGTAAGTAGCATTTTGTAAAGCTTTTTCATGTTTGCGGATTCCCCTCGTTTCCTGATAATAAGCTACCTGGATTTCGGTAAATCATTGTTATATATATATATATATTATGTTATGCTTAGAAGAGGAGTGGGCTTACTAGGCTGCAGGTGTATGAAAGCCAAAGGAGGAATAAGGGGGTAGAATTTGTTAAGAGAGAAATGTGTGAATAATAACAACCAGGCTAGTTGGTATACTTGGAGTGAATAAAAGAATGGAATTCTAGTATAAGACCAAAATGGAAAGAAGAGGTAAGATAAAGTGATGGAACTAGAGGAGGAAACATAAAGGTTCTGCATATTTGCTGCATCTAAGTGCATTTGTTTTTTGTTCTACAGTTGTTTTTTTAGGCAGTTTACCTTTATTGTAAGGAGCAAACTCCAAATTTTCTCTTCACATATTATAAGTTTATACTTCATATTTATTATTTTACTTAAATATTCATGCATATTTTCCTATTAGTTGTGGCAGCTGTTGGCTTGAAGCGAAAAAGGCTTGAGATCCCACCTGATGTCTCACAAGATTACACTATTTTTAGTTGTCCTAGGTACGTGCCAAATTCCATAATGATTTTCTTGCCATCTCTAAATTTAACTTGAACGTAGTAGTATCTATCTATTAAGGGGAATTGGAGCATACACAATTTTTTGTTAAAATTATTTATAAATCATACTGAATTGCATTGCTCATCTGTTTTGTTTTAATTTTCTCAATTTTTTTTCTTCTTGTTTTTTAGAATGCTGAAGATGTATTGCCTCTATGCTAATCTTGTAATGTTTCTACCATGCTAATCATGGGCATTTCTTATGCTTAAAACCTAGCAATTCTATCAATAAATTCATTTTATTAATAGTTTTTATTTATTTATTTTCATCAATTAGAGCTTAATTATTTATTTTAAATGTCAATCATTTATTAATCTTTTTATTTTTTTATTACAAATATTTTATATATCTTAAAAATATGAATTAAAACTGATATAATAAAAATTTAATGAAATTAGCCGATAAAATATTATCCATTACTTAACATCCCTAAATTATTTGAAGATATAGAAAAATATATTATCCACCAAAAACAACAAAAGAAAGAAAATAATTATAAAAAATTAACAAATACTATCCACTTAAAATATAAAAATATTATTAAAACTAATAAATTTAAGATGAAATTGATAATTAATTTTCATTAATAATTATTAAATTATTTTAATCTAATTATTTTCATTATTTATATATATATTGATTTTTTTTATTTTGATAATTTTTTTATACATTTGTTTTTTAATTTGTATTTAGTAACCATTTATTTTATACTATTGTAAAACTATAATAATTATTACTAATTACTATAATATTTTAATCCAATTTTTTCCTTTATCCACCAAAAAGAATTAAATAAAAATAATAAATAAATAATAAAAGTGAAAAATTAATTTACACTATTGAAATTAAAAAAGTTTAAGCAAAAACAGAGAAAAATTGTATTATCAAATTGATTTCTCTACTATTTAATTGCCACGTTTTAGTTAGTATTATTCTGTTGTAATTTTTTTAATAAGTTTCTTATATTTTTCGATGTAGCAGAAAATAGTTTCCCACTAAATAATGTATTTTTTGTGTGTTAATTGTCAAGTTTATTTGTGTCACTTACAATAATTACTAAGTAAATTTGGATTGAAATAGAAAATAATATAACTTTTCCAACAAATGAATGAATAAGTTAAACAATTAAGGTGAATGAATTATATTCAAAGGTTTAACTAATTAATAACAAATCAGATTTATGAAAAAATTTAAAGGAATTCAATTATTAAAATATTTGTATTAAAAAATTTATAAATCAGAAACGTAAAGTACATAAAATATTTATCTTAAAGTGAGAATCTTAGTGTCTCATGTTTGATAACTATTTTCAAAAAATTCTCAATAATATAGTTTTTGGGAACCATTTATATCCCACTTTACCACAAAAACACTAACCTTTTCTGTGAATTTTTATGAAAAATTCGCAGGAAACGTTGTTTCTACAAATTTTTCTGCGAAAGTTTATCTTTAATCGATATGGAACTTGAATTTGTTTTAAAATATTAAACTTATAAATTTAAATATTTTTTCCTGCGGATTAAAATTTGCAGGAAAAGTTACCTGTAAAATTTTTCTACCATTTAGTAAACATTACTTGCGAATTTATATTTTGCAAGAAAATCTGCAAGAAACAAAATAAAATTCTTACAATATTTTTTGCAAATTTTTACCATGAAAAAAAAAATTCTATGTCTTTTCAGCTTTAACATTTTTCTCAAGTCTGTCCTTGTACACGACATTTTCATTAAAAGTAACATCTATGCTTCTAATGATCTTTCTATTTTGATCATCCCAGAAGCAATATCTCATATCATTTGCTTCATAGCCAATAAAAATGCACTTTCTTGCTTTTGGATCAAGCTTGTCCCTGTCAGCGTCTCTAACACGAACATAAGAAATACAACCAAATACTTTCAAACGAGAAAGAATTACATCCTTGCTTTGCCATTCCTCCTCAGAAATCTTGAACCCTATGGGAACTGAGGGTCCTCGATTAATGAGGTATGCTATTGCTCACTGCATCTGCCCAGAATGTCTTCGGTAACCCTGCATGAATTTTCATACTTTTTTCCCTTTCATTTAAGGTCTTGTTCATTCTTTCAGCAACATCATTCTACTGAGGTGTCTCAGGAATAGTTTTAAGCATTCTAATTCCATTCTCAGCATAATAATTAACAAATTCAGTAGTACTGTATTCACCACCATTATTAGACTTTAAACATTTAACTTTTAATCTTATCTCATTCGCAACAACAACTTTCCACTTCTTAAAGGTATTAAATACTTTTTATTTTTTCTTCAAAAAAATAAACTCATACCTTTCTGGTGGAATCATCGATGAAGGTGACATAATATCATGATCCTCCCAATGATGAGACTAATGTTGGTTCGTACACATCTATATGAACATGTTAAGTCAAACAAAGAAACTCCCAATGAGGTTTTGAGTGTGACAAATATAATGCACGTGGTTATCTCTAACAAGTGTGTTAGTGTTTCAGAAGAACATAAGCACAAGTAAAATAAAAAACAAGCATATGCATTAGATGATACAAGACGATAGACGAAAGGTTAACACAAGCATCCAACAAGGCCAAATCAAGAACAAGGCAAAACTGTGTGCACAACCTAAAACGCAACATAAAGACGTAGATGAAGACAAAAAGAAAAGTCAATGCGTTAATGACAAATGCTTAGACAAAGGTCAAGGCTTGAGCTACATATAGACTAACAGACACAGACAAAAGTTGTCATGCAACCACCTGAGGAATTAAGTTTCAAAGGACAATTTGATGTCGTCCACATTCATAGGAGAACACACAAAGTCATCGTAATTGTGAGAAGAAGAGAAGAAAGGAGAAAATCAAGCGCAGAACTAAAAACATGCATGTGTTAGAAAAAGTACATTACTTTTTCAGACAAGGATAAAACTTCACAGCTATGTGACCTGAAAAGGACAAAAAGGTTCCTAGGTCTTTGCTGAATTTAGACACTGCTACTACCAAGACAAGAAATACTTCACGCAAGGTCTATCACAGGAAGCAACATTTAATGCAAGAATCTGAGCATTAAATGAGAAGATCAAACTAGTCGTAAATGACTATATCTGCTTCAACGGACACTTGTAACGGGCAGATTTCACAAGACTATATGTAGGTCTCAACATCAAACCTTAAAAGTTACTTGCGAATTTATATTTTGCAAGAAAATCTGCAAGAAACAAAATAAAATTCTTACAATATTTTTTGCAAATTTTTACCATGAAAAAAAAAATTCTATGATTAAAATTATAGCAAAATTTGTAAGAAATGATTTTCTTGCCATCTCTAAATTTAACTTGAACGTAGTAGTATCTATCTATTAAGGGGAATTGGAGCATACACAATTTTTTGTTAAAATTATTTATAAATCATACTGAATTGCATTGCTCATCTGTTTTGTTTTAATTTTCTCAATTTTTTTTCTTCTTGTTTTTTAGAATGCTGAAGATGTATTGCCTCTATGCTAATCTTGTAATGTTTCTACCATGCTAATCATGGGCATTTCTTATGCTTAAAACCTAGCAATTCTATCAATAAATTCATTTTATTAATAGTTTTTATTTATTTATTTTCATCAATTAGAGCTTAATTATTTATTTTAAATGTCAATCATTTATTAATCTTTTTATTTTTTTATTACAAATATTTTATATATCTTAAAAATATGAATTAAAACTGATATAATAAAAATTTAATGAAATTAGCCGATAAAATATTATCCATTACTTAACATCCCTAAATTATTTGAAGATATAGAAAAATATATTATCCACCAAAAACAACAAAAGAAAGAAAATAATTATAAAAAATTAACAAATACTATCCACTTAAAATATAAAAATATTATTAAAACTAATAAATTTAAGATGAAATTGATAATTAATTTTCATTAATAATTAAATTATTTTAATCTAATTATTTTCATTATTTATATATATATTGATTTTTTTTATTTTGATAATTTTTTTATACATTTG